AAAAAAAAAAAAAACCATTCAAAAGGGAAAGAACAGTTTTTTCAAAGAAATGGTGCAACAACTAGATAGTCATATGCAAAAGAATGAAGTGGGACTCTAATCTCACACCATATAAAAACTTAACTCAAAATAGGGAGAATTCCCTGGCAGTCCAACAGTTAGCACTTGGTGCTTCCACTGCTGGGGGCCCGGGTTCAATCCCTGGTCGGAGAACTAAGATCCCGCAAGCTGTGTGGCGTGGCCAAAAAAAATAATAATAATTAACTCAAAATGGATTAAAGACTTAAATGTAAAACAGGAGTAAATCTTCAGGACCTTGGCTTTGGGAAAGGATTCTTAGATATGACAACAAAAGCATGAGCAACAAAAGAAAAAAATAGATAAATGAAGTCCAAGTGCTCTAAAGCAGTGGTCCGCAACCTTTATGGCACCAGGGACCGGTTTCGTGGAAGACAATTTTTCCATGGATGGGGGAGGAGGGCAGATGGTTCAGGTGGTCATGAAAGTGATGGGGAGCGATGGGGAGCGGCAGGTGAAGCTTCACTCGCTCACCTCCTGCTGTGCGGCCCAGTTCCTAATAGGCCACGGACCTGTACCAGTCCACGGCCCAGGGGTTGGGGACCCCTGCTCTAAAGGAAACCATCAAGAAAATGAAAAGACAACCCAAGAATGTGAGAAAATATCTGAAAATCACATATACGATTAGGAGCTTGTATCCAGAATATAAAAAAATTCTTACAACTCAATAAAAAAAAGACAAATAGACCAAAAATTTTTTTAAATGGGCAAAGACTCAAAATAGACATTTCTCCAAAGAAGACATAAAAATGGCCAACAAAAGCACGTGAAAAGATGCTTAACATCATTAATCAATGGGGAATGCAAATCAAAACCATAATGAGGTACCATTTCACACCTACTAGGATGGTTAGATCCAAAAAATCAAATAAATGTTGTCAGGATGTGAAGAAATTGGAACCCTCATACACTGCTAGTGGGAATATAAAATGGTGCAGCAGCTTTGGAAAGCAGTTTGCTAGTTCCTCAAAGGATTAAACAAAGTTACCATATGACACAGCAATTTTACTCCTAGAAATGTACCCAAGAGAAATGAAAACATATGTCCATACAGAAACTTGTACACAAATGTTTATAGCAGCATTATTTATAATGGCCAAAAGATGGAAACAACCTATATGTCCATGAACAGATGAATGAATAAAGGAAATGTAGTATATTCATATGGAATATGATTTGACCACAAAGAGGAATGAAGTACTGATACATGCTACAACATGAATGAACCTTGAAAACACTAGACTAAGTGAAAGAAACCAGGCACAAAGGACCATACTGTGTGTATATCTCCAGAATAGAGAAATCTATAGAGACAAAAAGTAGATCATTGGTTGCCTAGGCCTGGGGAAGGCTGGAAGGAAATAGGGGAACAACTGTCACTGGGCATAAGACTTCTTTTTGAGGTGATGAAAATGTTCTAAAATTGTGCATATAGCTGTAAATACACTAAAAGCCATTGAATTATATACTTTAAATGGATGAACTGTATAGTGTATGAATTGTATCTTAATAAAACTGTTTTTGAAAAAGTTGTAACTCTTCATTTACAAAAACAAGATAAATACCAACTAAATAAGGAAGAATGCCAAGCAAAAGGCAACTAAATATGTTTTAAATAATTTACATTTAGTATATATTTAATGCATCAGAATTTTAACATAAGTCTATGAAGATATTGAGCTACTCCCACACACAGGAATCTATGATTTACAAGTCAAATATAAAAATCTATGAATTATTCACTAGTTTCTACCATTCATACTTACAGCTCCTAGAAATAATAGAATAATTTCTATCATACTAGTTAAGAACCATCTGTAAACCTAAAGCTTTCAAAATAAACTTAGTCTTTTGAAAGTAAACAAAGAATTAAAGACAAAACATATTAAAATGGATGCTTACAACTGATAATGCATTCAGATTTTCTTCTTGTTTCATTTCCTGAGTAGTCAAATCTATGTTTGATGAGAGCTGATGTTCAACAACAGCTATGCATCCTACATCTGGGATATTCATGGGTATTTCAAGCTGTCAAAATGAAAAGTTTCATTATTTCATTTTGGCATACTATCACAGAAAAGCAAAATGAATCATAAAATAAAATATTAAACTGAAGAAATAATTCACATTTATACATGATTTAAAAAACTGAAATATAGTAATTCTTAAACTGATTGACAACAACTTGGCAAAAGTGAAACATTTAATGTTTTTGAGGGGTCTGTGATTCTTACAAACAATAAGCAAAACTTCCAGAGCTAATCTACTTAGTACCTAGCATTTCATTTTCCATTATCCCCAGTTTGTCCCAAATTTCCCACAGTTTCTCTCATCAGTCTGTCAACATTTATGAAATGCTTCCTAAAAACTAGAGGGCTACAGGTACAAGAATACAAAGCTCAATAAGACAAGTCGGTCCCTGACTGCAAGGAACTCACAATCTAAGAAAAACAGACATGTAATCAACTATACACTGTTCCAAGTGCTATCATAGAGATGAGTTGAAAGCACTTAAAAAGACTGATCATACACATGACGCACCAAGGCAATTACTCTCTCCCACAACCCCAAAACCTGTATGATTCTTCATAGCGATGAATGGCCATGTAAAATAACGAGCCCACTCACATTTACTCTTCATTTAGCAGGCTTATTTCAAAGATCCCCAGTCTGGGGGTTAAAAACACTAAGATTTATCTCCTAGACTATAAACAAGGGAGTCTGGCTCCTATTCCCTTATTGACAGAGAGATGAGTATAAAAGACTGTGATTCAGTAGAAACTGAGCAGTCAAGTTTGAAAATCTACCTTTGAGACGTTTATTATAGTAACACCTACGTGTTCTGTGTCTGTCTGCTCAGATGAAATTAGAGAAAAATCTTTGCTAATATCCTATAGGCCTGGGATGAATTTTAAAAGTTCAAGTAGGGTTTCCCTGGTGACGCAGTGGTTGAGAGTCTGCCTGCTGATGCAGGGGACACGGGTTCATGCCCCGGTGCGGGAAGATCCCACATGTCGCGGAGCGGCTTGGCCCATGAGCCATGGTCGCTGAGCCTGCGCGTCCGGAGCCTGTGCTCCGCAACGGGAGAGGCCACAACACTGAGAGGCCCGCGTACCGCAAAAAAAAAAAAAAAAAAAAAAAAAAAGTTCGAGTGATTTGAAAAGACAAAATATTTTCTGAAAAGCTGGGATTGGGGGGATAATGGGAATATTCTAGGTAACTGAAAGTTGGTTCTGTAAGCACTACACAGTTTCAAAGCTTTATTTTTTTAACAGCTTTATCTAGATATAATTTACATTCCATACAATTCACCCATTTAAATTGTATAATTCAATGTTTTTTGGTGATGGAAGCACAGATATGTTCAACCATCAACATAGTTACTTTTAGAACATTTTCATCACTTCAAAAAAGAAACCCTATACCGACTCCTTTAACTCCTCATTTCCAAATCCCTAAGCAACCATTGATCTACTTTCTGTCTCTATAGATTTTCCTATTTTGGACATTTCATATTAATGGAATCATATAATGTGTGATTTTTTGTTAACTGGTTTCTTTCACTTAGCATAATTTTTCAAGGTTTTCAAGGTTCATGTTGAAGTATATATCAATATTTTAGATCCCTGTATGATTTAATAATACGCCATTGCATTTCAACGCTTTCTAAAGGGGACATTTTCTAACATATAAACAAATTTCCCTGCCTTAGTAAACTGGCCATTAAGAATACAATTTAAGCTTTCCTTGCTCAATTATTATAATCAATGCTATTTAAGAAGGCATTCTGTGGGGCTTCCCTGTTGGCGTAGTGGTTAAGAATCTGCTTGCCAATGCAGGGGACACGGGTTCACGCCTTGGTCCGGGAAGATCCCACATGCCACGGAGCCACTAAGCCCATGTGCCACAACTACTGAGGCCACGTGCCACAGCTACTGAAGCCCGTGTGCCTAGAGACCGTGCTCCACAGCAAGAGAAGCCACTGCAATGAGAAGCCCGCGCACCGCAACAAAGAGTAGCCCCCACTCTCCACAACTAGAGAAACCCCGTGCACAGCAACGAAGACCAAACACAGCCTAAATAAATAAAATAAATTTAAAAAAAAAAGAAGGCATTCTGTATTAATTCAGGGATATATCCTAGAAGCTGATTTTCAGAAGTTAATTTCTAGTATTAGTTTTCATGAGCAATTTGCCTTTCACCCAAAGAAATTGTAAAATACAAAACATATAGCTAAATGAATTTTCATGCAGTGGTAACCAGCCATCCTTGCACAAAATTAACTTTCCTTTTATCTTTTCTTGGTTTCAACCAAAATTTAAATTCATTATCTTTACTTTGAACTTTAATTACAAGAAACCACTTCACATCATTTTTATTTAGCTTCAACCATTCCAACTAACTTTATAACATTTAGCATGGTATTATTAACAATGAATAAAAAAAGGTGAGTTTGGAATTCCATTTGTAATTCAAATGGCTTTTGAATCTACCATGAATACAAAACTGATTCAGATATGATGCTCTATCAGCAAAATAAGTTACTGAAAATTGAGGCAGAACAGAAAACTTTGAAGTTACAAAGTTAGACCAAGAGGCAAAAGAGTAAGGAGTTTTCATAATAAAGTAAGTTGACGGGCTTCCCTGGTGGCGCAGCGGTTGAGAGTCCGCCTGCCGATGCAGCAGACACGGGTTCGTGCCCCGGTCCGGGAAGATCCCACATGCCGCTGAGCGGCTGGGCCCGTGAGCCATGGCCGCTGAGCCTGCACATACGGAGCCTGTGCTCCACAACGGGAGAGGCCACAACTGTGAGAGGCCCGCGTACCACCAAAAAAAAAAAAAAAAAGTAAGTTGAAGTAATATGTTCCTCTACCTCAAATCCGTTAGGATGACTACTATCAAAAAAAAAAAAAAAAAAAACCAGAAAAAACAAGTGTTGGTAAGGATGTGGAAACATTGGAACCCTTGTACACTATTGATAAGATGGTAGAATAAGGCAGCTGCTATGGAAAACAGTATGGGGGTTGCGCAAAAAATTAAACATTGATTTACAATTTACTGCATTATCCAGCATTTCCACTTGCAGAATTGACAGCAGGGATTAGAAGAGATATTTGTATACCCATGTACATAGCAGTGTTCTTCATAATAGCCAAAAGGTGGAAGCAACCCAACTGTCCACTGACAGAAGAATAAACAAAATGTGGTACTGTATATACTGAATGGAATATTATTTAGCCCTTAAAAAGGACTTCCCTGGTGGCACAGTGGTTAAGAATCTGCCTGCCAATGCAGGGGACACAGGTTCAATCCCTGGTCTGGGAAGATTCCACATGCCGCAGAGCAACTAAGCCCGTGCACCACAACTACTGAGCCTGCGCTCTACAGCCCACGAGCCACAACTACTGAGCCCGTGCACTACAACTACTGAAGCCCGCACACCCTAGAGCCCACGCACCACAACTGAGCACATGCGCTGCAACTACTGAAGCCTGCGTGCCTAGAGCCCATGCTCTACAAGAGAAGCCACCGCAATGAGAAGCCCGCACACTGCAACAACAGTAGCCCCTGCTCACCACAACTAGAGAAAGCCTGTGTGCAGCCAGAAGAAGACCCAATGCAGCCAGAAAAAAAAAAAGGGACATCCTGACATATGCTACAGTATAGATGAACCTTGAAAGCATTATGCTAAGTGAAATAAGCCAGTCACAAAAAGGACAAACACTGTATGATTCCACTTACATGAGGGACCTAGAGTAAGTGGTTGCCACAGGCTAGAGAGGAGGGAATAATCAGAATTATTGTTTAATAGGTACAGAGTTGTAGTTTTTCAAGGTGAAAAAAAGTTCTGTGGATGGATGCACTTAATGCCACTGAACTGTAGGCTTTAAAATGGCTAGGACGGTAAATTTTATGTTACCTGTAATTTACCACAATTAAAAAAAGAGAGAGGGCTTCCCTGGTGGCACAGTGGTTAAGAATCCACCTGCCAATGCAGGGGACGCAGGTTCAAGACCTGATCCGGGAAGATCCCACATGCCAAGGAGCAACTGGGCCCGTGTGCAACAACTACTGAGCCTGCGCTCTAGAGCCCACACACCTAGAGCCCGTGCTCCACAACAAGAGAAGCCACCGCAATGAGAAGCCCGCGCACTGCAATGAAGACCTAACGCAGCCAAAAATAAACAAATAAATTTATTTTAAAAAAAGAGAGAGAGAGAAAGAGGAAGAAATATGTCCCTTCTACCTTCTCTACCAACCAGAGCTTAACTTGAGCTTACCACAAAGAGTGAATAGAAAACATCTGCCAATTTTTTTTTTTTTTTTAATTAACCAGAAAGGAGATTAAGTAGCCCCCAGATACAAGTGAAATTAGATTTCTCTCAGTATTGTTATACTGATTACCTTGTGCTGGGCCTGGGTTGCAGGGGTTGATTAAACACAGGAGATCACACAAGCCTATTTCTACGGATTTCCTAGGCTATGCAGCAGGCCCCAAACAAATTACTCTAATAATCTTCAAACCCTAATAATCACTAAGAGAAGAGATAATGATCCAATAAAAGCAAAAAGCAAGTAAGATAAAGTTCCAAGGATTCAAAATTCAAACTACCTCTTCCATGGTTTCCTCAATCTGAGCAGAAACTGGTTCAGGAGATCTGAGACCAACAGGTACAAACACTGGAGCTTTGTTTACTTCTTCTGGAGCAAGATGATAGCTTTCTTCTTCATAGTCAGACTCAAAGTCTTCCGCATCATCTTCATCTTCTTCCTGGGAAGCTCGAAGAGTCACCAGCACAGGCTTAGAAGCTCTAGGTTCCTTCTTAGAGGTCTTACTCCGAATTCGTTTTGATCCACGCCCTTTGGGGACGTTTGGTTTAATCTTTCGACGCATTCTCCTTTCACTACGATCTATCTTACATTCAGAGGCAGAAGAGAGAGCTGTTCTTCGATCCACAGCAATTTTAGAATAATTTGATTCTTTTAACAGTTGTGGAGAGCTGGAGGTTTAATCAAAATAGCAAAATAGTCATTACATGCATAAGGATAATTTTAATGAAAACCCAACTTATAAAGTGAAATCTCAATTCAAGCCATTAATATAAAATGCCCACCACCCATTCTATCAAACACTAATGCTATGACAAGAACGAACGGAATTTACTGTTACGATTTAGTTTCTCACTCAAAGTTAAATATTAGTTATCTACCTACAAATTTTTCACAGTAAGTTTTAAATTCTGAGCCATTTTTCCCCCTTGCTATTTAAGTGGTGATGAAATACAACACTGGAAATTGTTAGAAGAAAATGGGATCAAGAACACTGGACCAATAAATACAGAATATGAGACCAAAAAGTGATACGGTTTATCCTATTGGGTAAACAGATTAGGTCAAAAGTGAAAAGGAGAATGAGGAAATCCAACAGAACAATATTTTTCAGAACTTAGGGTCCCTTCCACTTTCCTTGAAAACTGTGGAAGAAAGGTACCCTTCACTTGTGTTTGTGACACCAATTTGAATCAGCACCCTAGTTATTTAGGTAATATGTACTACTCTTTCGTCAGGCTTCTGCTCATGTCTAATATACTCAACACCCAGAAATTTTAAATGTAGGAAAGAAAAATCTTTCTGAGAATATCATAAAAAAAGGAAATTTTAGTAAATAAAAATCAAAAGCGGGAAAGAAACAGACCTGCCAATAAAAAACAACCAATACTTCTGTTAACAAACCATCTTTTTACTCTATCAATAAGTTAGAGTAGGACATCCATTAAGAAGAAGTTACTTGTATTTACTATTCTGAAAGTACTTGTTAAATAAAACTTTACCTTGCTGGTTTACTGACATGCTCTTCGACAACTGAACACATAGAATTATCGCCTACGGTTTTCTCTCCAACACTTCCTGATGGTCCAACTTCTGATTGAGCATCTTTTTTTGCCAAACCAATCTCCCTGGAACCTACTGAACCTTTTCTTGCTGAAATCTCCAGAGATGTAAGAAACTCAGCTTTTCCCTTAAATTTGAGAAGAAACAGTTAATATTACCATGGAAACAATCTGTATGGTAATTTGGTTTGGTAGTTTGGCCTAAAACGCTAAGCTTACACATATATACACAAGTGACTGGTTTCTAAACTTTCATAATATTGGAAAGTCAATCAATTTTCATGAAAATAGTTATAGTACAGAAGGCAAAACTATCTTTTTAATGTTCTCCTTCATGATATTGATAAAATAGAGCCCACTAATAAATTAATTTTTTCAAACTTACTTTTTGAAGAAGCTGGGTGTCAGAATCTCCATGCTGCAGCAAATTATCTTCTGGCTTCCTTGCCTTACTCTGATCTGCTCTGTCTTTTCCTATGCCTGATTCCTCTTTCTTACCTTGTGCTCTTCCCAAATTTGGCTTAGCCTTTTGGAATTGGCTTCTTATCATTTGTGGTGGACTAGAAACATACGTTTTATGTTCATGTCTAGAATGAAATACAAATCATGTTGAAGAACGAAAATCAGAATTCCTGTTGATGTATCTGCTGTTAAACAATTTTTGGGCACAAACCAATTCCATGTTCGAAGAACTATATATAAATAGGCTATAAAACTAAACATATAAAATGAAACCACACATGCTGATATGAAAGAAAGAACATAGAAGCTTTTATAACTTCCATTTTCTATATAGCCTGGGGAATACTTTCACAATAATACTTAATCTTTTTTTACTTTCATTCATTGATTCTGGTGTGTCGTTGTATGCTACTTTAAGTAATTTCCAGAGAAATAACTAGATACAAAACAAAAATGTCAGTAGTTGAAGATGGACTTCATAATGATACTTTAAACAAATGCTTCAACTGGGCTCTGAAGCATGAATAAATACACAATGGTCACAACAACCCTGGTCCTTCGAGTTCAAGAGCAGGCTTGAAAGCTAGAGTCTGTTCTCCTACCACATGCCTGTCACTTCATAGAAAAGGGTTTATTGACAACAGTATCATAAGGATCTCAATATAACCCATTTGTATCTGCCAAATCAGAGAAAGACAAGGTTTTAACATTCAATACAGTAGCCATAGCTCCCAAGGCAACACAGACAGCTGCCTTAAGGTTTCCTGGAAAATATTTAATAATATTATTATTATTAATAAGGCAAGTATCTGAATTAGCAAGTTTAAAACTAATATAAATCTGGATACTTATAAAGAAAAACTGGGTCTGTAAGTATTGATCATAAGTTCTCTGAAAGATCTGTATTAAAGACTAATCTTAATATTTGTAATAAATTACCTACAAGAGAAAGTAGTTAGTTACATTTCCAAATGTCCCAATTCTGCTAAGTTCTTCCAGCAGTGAAATACCAAGGAAGTTCACAGGAAGTTCTAACAAAGTAATGATGCTGGTTTAATACATTCCAGTGTAGGCTAATGTATTTGGGAAAACATGTTATATTTAACTTAAGTATAAGCTACTTACAATCGAGTGTGATTCTACAATGGTACTTAAGAATAATATATATATATATATATATATATATATATACAAGCTCAATGTGCTACTGGGGTTAAAAGGGGGTAAGAAACTGCTGGACATAAGAATAAGCTAACTTAAAACTATGCAGAATATATACTCTGAAGGAAGTATCAGTCATGATAAAGCTAAAAGCTTGAATAAACTTCATAAACAGAAAAGATTTTAAAAAGAGGGGTGGGTGGGTAATGCGTTTCTATACAGGAAATTTGCAAGTTAGATCTTGCTCCTTAAAAATGCAAAGGCTGAGCATAAAATCTCTGGAAACATGTAAAGTTTCTTTCAGGAAGCTCTGCCTATAAACTATAGGAATTTGCTAGTCTTAAAGTCATAAATCCTGAAAACTTAAGTTTAAAAACTAAACTGCCAATGTTACTTTGAGCAAGCCATTTAAATCCTCTAGATCCATACAGTCAATTATAAACGAAGGCATTAGGAAAGGCTGACCTCAAAGGTCACTGGTCTTTAAAGGCTCATTTAGAGTAAAACTCAAAATCCTTACAATGGTCCTACATAATCTGCGCTTCCCCCCACTCAGCCTTTACCTGTCATATATCTACTACTTTTCCTTTCTTCCCCTGTTTCACACTGGCCCCCTTTGCTGTTCAGCAGATTTAAACTATTCTAGTTTCATAATTACTTTTTTCTTTCATAAAACTTACTAAATGTGAAATTACATAAAATCGATTATTCAAATAACCAACCTTTATCTTTGAAAAGTTTTATGCTTTTCTGATTAAAAGCAAACTCACCTCGTCTTTTCATCTGAAACATTTATTTTGTTAACATGAAGGTTTTCTAAAAGAACGTGACTCTGGTTTTCATACATTCTGCCTTCTGAAACTTTGGAGGATACAACTTCAATTTCCATTGCAATTTGAGAATTTGGCTGAAATGCAAAACTATATTAGTTTTTATTTTTTTTTAACAACAGAACATACCTCCTAAAATATTTCAATCATTAAGAAAGGTATTTAGGGACTTCCCGGGTGGCACAGTAGTTAAGAATCCACCTGCCAATGCAGGAGACACGGGTTCAATCCCTGGTCCAGGAAGATCCCACATGCCGCAGCCACAGAGCAACTAAGCCCATGTGCCACAACTACTGAGCCTGCGCTCTACAGCCCGTGAGCCACAACTACTGAAGCCCATGCACCTAGAGCCCATGCTCCACAACAAGAGAAGCCACTGCAATGAGAAACCCGTGCACAACAACAAAGAGTAGCCCCTGCTCGCCGCAAGTAAAGAAAGTCCATGCGCAACAACGAAGACCCAATGCAGTGATAAATAAATAAATTAATTAATTAATTAATAATAATAAAAAAGAAAGGTATTTAGTTTTTTAAAATGAATTCTCAAACTTGAGTATGCAATGTTCATGTTTTGCTGCCCAAAACAAAATTTCCTACTCACAGAGAAAGTTTCAAAGATTACTGCAATAATATGTTCACATAATGCTTTAAAAACTACAATAACCATCTGTTGTGAACCTCCCTCCCAAAAAGTTCAATGTGTTTTTTATAGTTTGGGGGGGGTGGTTCAAATAAGGATTACAATCACTTTATTTTAAATGTAGATTTTCCCTTGGTAGAGAAAAGGACAGAAAAACAAGATCTGTTGAAATGGGCATTAAACTACTTAGATTTGTTTCTAATATCAAAAGATCCATCAATAAGAGATTGGTTAAACTGTCATTCCAAATAGCACTATGTTACACAGCAGTTAAAAATGATGTATCTCCATATTTCATGACATGGAAAGCCACTTAATATAATAAGTGAAAAACAGTAAGTCACAAAATAACATGATTACAATGATTTTATTATTTAAATTTACATGAGTATGCACACATGCATGCATGGAGATACATCCGGTAAGATATGTCAAAAGGTTTTCAGTGGTTACCTCAGAGTGGTGAGACTAGGGGTAATTATTATGTTATTTTGTATTGACTGAACATTTTCACAATGAATACGTTCATTAGTTAGGAAAAAAAAATCTATTTTCATTAAAAAAAGAATCTACAATGGTAAACCTGAAACAAAACTAGACACGTTACGTATGAAGTAGAGTAAGTATCAGATGCCTATATTCTAAGCCAAGTCTGAGCTACCATTTGATATTTTAATATGCATTAAAAAGCTTGATTTAATTACATAGCAATAACTCACCACAGTCAGGAATTTTTTAGTTTCATCTTTTTGTAGTGTCCTTTCTTCCTTAATTGTTTCTTTGGCTTCACTTTTTTCTATTACTTGCCTCTGTCCAACCTTTCTTAAGTTTGGACTGGGTCTCTGAAGTCGGCCCCTTACTGGTGGAGCAGTTTGGATAGCGCTTTCCTTCATTTCTTGTTCGCAAGTGTTTATATGATAAGTCCTAGAAAAGGGGACAGGAGAAAAGAGAGAAAGCTTGATTGTAAAAAGATGAAAACTACTATAAAAATATAAAATTTGAATCCAATAAACTTTGTAAAAATATTTTTTACATTAAAGGAAAATTAAATTACTTTCTGATTATACCTCATTTTATAAAAAAATAGTTATTTCAATTCTCAGAAGGTACTGAACTTATATGAGGTACCTACAATATTCAAATTCATAGTAATAGAAAGCACAATGGTGGCTGCCAGGGACTGGAGGTAGGGGGAATGGGAAGTTATTGTTTAATGGGTACAGAGTTTCAGTTTGGGAAGAAAAATGTTCTGGAGATGAATGGTGGTAATGGTGTACAACGATGTGAATATACTTAATGCCATTGGACTGTACACTTAAAAATGGTTAAAATAGTAAATTTTATGTTATATGTATCTTACTACAATTTTTAAAAAGGTAATGAATACATACCTTATATACATATATTTTTAAATGCATTGCTTTGTATAAGATCTTAAGCAGCTAACAGTGAATATAAGCAGGCAAGTGTTAAAAGGTGTTGAACTCAACCTGATTTTGTATTTTAGGCCATATGAATAAAAATAAACCAAGTATTCTTGATACTCACTTTCAAAATACATTAACACATTTCTTAAAAAAAAAATGACGAACTATTTGAAATAATTCTCCTATTTAAGATTTTAGTAAAATTATCACTATTTACCCCACAGAGACAACTAATTCCTTTTCCTGGGCTTGTGTAGACTGAGACTCCTCTATAGGTTCACAAGAACTCGAAGGGGAAAGGTCCTTTTCAGTCTGTACATATGGTAATATCACAGCCTCCTCTTGACTGTGATCTGATTTGTCTTTTTCTGTTGATGCCATTAGGGAAGCCACATCCTAGAAGGTAGATTAAAAAAAAAAATTTCATCGAGGGTTGGTAAAAGTATAGGGAAATAGAAACTTTAATAAACTGTTAGAAAAATAAACTGATACAGTCTTTGTAGACAACAGGGCAATATCTATCAAGAATTTTAATTTCCAGCAATTCTACTTCTAGAAATATACCTTATAAAAACACTCAAATAACTATCTAGAAAATTATACACAAGGATATTTATTACAGCAATATAACAGCACCCTAAAAAAGGAAAGAAAAAGAAAAGGAAAAACAAAAAATTGGAAAGAAGACAAATCAGTAGGGAACTGAATAAATTAAAATTTCTTTACAATGAAACAGTACAGAGTCATTTAAAAGAAGTTTAATTTCTATATACTGATCCAAAAAGATGTTCATGGACTTCCCTGGTGGCACAGTGGTTAAGAATCTGCCTGCCAATGCAGGGGACACGGGTTCGAGCCCTAGTCCGGGAAGATCCCACATGCTGCAGAGCAACTAAGCCCATGTGCCACAAATACTGAGCCCACAACTACTGAAGCCCATGTGCCTAGAGCCCATGCTCTGCAACAAGAGAAGCCACCGCAATAAGCCCCTGCACTGCAACAAAGAGCAGCCCCCGCTCGCCACAACTAGAGAAAGCCCGTGTGCATCATCAACAAACACCCAGCACAGCCATAAATAAATCATTAAAAAAAAAAAAGATGTTCACAACACTGTGTTAAGTGAAAAAAAATCAGACGGCAGGATATGATGCCATTTTTGTAAAACAATGAAAATAAATACCCGCACATTTTATTATTTATATAAATAAGTATCTATACAAAAAAGTTTAGGTGGACATATTTAAAATTGCTAACTTGGGAGGGAAAGATGGAACATTATAAAGAACTCTAATTTTTTAGATGATATATTTTTCCCAATTTGCAATTTTTATAATCATTTAAAATAATCAATAAAAAGTGACTTTGGGTACTTCCCTGGCAGTCCAGTGGTTAAGACTGCACTTAGGCCTCCCCTGTGGGCACAGTAGTTAAGAATCTGTCTGCCAATGCAGGGGACACGGGTTCAATCCCTGGTCCAGGAAAATCCCACATGCCGCAGAGCAACTAAGCCCATGCTCCACAACTACTGAGCCCGCGTGCCACAACTACTGAAGCCCATGCACCTAGAGCCCGTGCTCCACAAGAAGAGAAGCCACCGCAATGAGAAGCCCATGCACCGCAACCAAGAGTAGCCCCTGCTCACCGCAACTAGAGAAAGCCCACACGCAGCAACGAAGACCCAATGCAGCCAAAAAAATAAATTAAAAAAAAAAAAAAAAGACTCTGTGCTTCCTCCACAGGGGGCACAGGTTCAATCCCTGGTCAGGGAACTAAGATCCCACATGCCACATGGAATGGCCAAAAAATAAATTAATTAAATTATATAAAATAAAATAAAATAAATAAATGAAAGTGGTCCCCAACCAAGGATTGAACCCAGGCCCTCAGCAGTGAAAGTGCAGAGTCCTAACCACTGGACCACCAGGGAATTCCCATGATTTATCCTTTTTAAACATAAGATTAGGAGGAAAAAGTACAAATGTTCAAGCACAGTAAGAACTGAGCTAAGATATAAAAGAAGAACTTTAATTCAAAAAAGTACTTCATATGTTTAAACGCTCAACTTATGAGTGTTAACGTTTCATTTCAAGGTTTTTGATGCTGTATCACACATCTTCATCTCTTATAGACCAAGTTAATCAAGTAAATAAAATAATCTCCTTTTAACTCATATCAAGCTTTTAACTTTTCATTTCACCTTCACAACAGAGTGAAATAAAGATGGACTCTCATTCTCATTTTTCCTGTGAAGAAACTAGTTGCATCATTTGGCTATGGTCACATAATGAATAAAGGTCAGAACTTGAACTAGAGCCTGGGCCTCTTAAAATCCTTTCCATGACACATTTGCCCACCATCATAGATTCAAGATTCTTACACAAACTACATAGAACAATGAGGTACATAAAGTACAGCACCAATATCACACACAGCAAAAATTACATAAGGAAATATTTGTGAATTTTTAATTCCAAGTATTTTACCTTAGTAATTATAATAACTAAAACAGAAAACCTCCATCTTAAATAACACTCACACGTTGAGAAGGGAGAGTTCTCATTTGTTCCCCATTCTGCTGTATCACAACAGTCCCTTTTTTATCAGCTTCCACTTTCTTCCCAGGTGCATGTTTTTCTGCTTCTATAGTCTCTCTTTTTGAAGCTGCTCTTGCTAAGTTTGGTTTTGGTCTTTTGAATCTACTTCTCACAAAAGGTGCCGGTTTCACTTCAAATGGCTTCTGTTCTTGAGGAAGAGATTTGCTTTTGGAACAAGGATTATCAAGCTTTAGGATGAAATGAAGGGGCAGTGGGAGCAGAGTCTTAGCACAACCTTAGAGACTGGCAGTAAATATTTAATTCTAATTCTTAACAGGAAAACAAATCGGACTATTTGGTAGATCCTGAAAAACATGAGTGGTACAATCCGGGTATAAGCCTAGGAATTATATCATCTTCGCACAAAGAAAATACAGGTTTGTCACACCTGCACTGACTTAAAAGTATGTGTTGTACACAATTTTGTATGTTAGTAATTCTCACAATCTACTGTCAGAAGGACCTCAAATCTCTCCCAGCCTTCCCCAAACCAGCTTAAAATTTTCAACACTATGCTATAGATGATATGTCTTAAAACCTTATTTAGTTTAACATAATCTGCAAATATAACTTTATATGCTTCCTCTTTACAAGCACACAGACCTATATACTTGTACCTTAAATTAATATCTGAAAACCGCTCTGGAACATCTGGAGATAGCATCCTCTGGTCTTCTATTTTATCAAGTTCAGAAGTCTGTGAAGAAATGTTCAAATGACTCAACTGACTTGATATTTCCTTTTCAGAATTTCTTTTTTCTTCTACAGATACATGCACCACGGATTGTACTTCACTGCTAATGTCCTGGAAATAAATCAGCACATATAAAATATTCCTTAAGCATGTCATACATTTCAAACAAAAGCCTATATTCTTCACACTGTTTTTAAAAATCCAGAAGTTTGGGGGTTTTTAATTTTTAAGTAAAATAAAATTTAATTTACAAATGCTAAAAGACAGAATTTGGAAAACTCTTCTTTCTATATTGCATATTATTATATGTTTTCTCCAAACTACAAATGCCATTACCTATCCAAAAAAAAAGTTAGAAAACTGGAAAATGTTAGAATAGCTTCAACTTCAATTAACTGGAAACTTTTAATAAGATGAACTTTTAAAAGTGGAGTGAAGTGGGGTGGGACAGGAAATAAAGAGAAAAACCGATACAGATATGGTCAAAAGAAATAATTCCAGTGTATGTTCATACTAGAATTAGCACAAATTCAGTCCAATCTTTTATATTTCTTTTATCTAAGAGTAACTTTAAACTGACATTAAGAACAGTAACTTTTCCACAATTATAAAGTGTTTTCAATTATTAAAAAAAAAAAGAATATATAATTTCTTTAAGGTCCTGAAACACAGAATTTAGGGCTGGGAAAGACATTATGCTTTAGAGACTTTAAATGTTGTTGGACTTAAGGGCAATAATCCTGGAATTATTTTGATTTTTTTTTCTCTGAAAAAGTATTCAAAAAAATATTTTTAAAGGACAGAAAAATACATACTTTAATATTTAGTGAAGGCACAGCACTGCAGTCACCACTACCCCTCTGCAATGAATCTGTCTCAGTTTGTCTTGAGGTCCCAGTCTCCTCTGGTTCATTTTCCCTTAGAGAAATGTCTATTTTTCCAGTTTTTTCCAAATCTGCCACCTTTTCCTCAGAAGCACTGATCTCTTCTGATTGGCTTTTCCTAAAGGAAATTTCTCTTCCAGTTTCTTTCAAATCTGCCTCTGTTTCCTCAATGGCAGTCATCTTTCCTGATACCTTTTCCATCAGGGAAATGTCTCTTTTTCCAGTTTCTTCCAAATCAATCTCCCTTTCCCCTGTGGCACTGATCCCCACTAGTACCTTTTCCCTTGGGGAAATTTCTATTCCAATTTTGTTCAAATCTGTCTCCATTTCATCATCTATAGTTCTGAGCTCTGAGGCCTTTTCTTGTGTAGGTATTTCTCTTCTTTCAGTTTCTTCTAAATCTGTCTCTACTTCCTCAGCGGCATCAATCATCTCCGGTATCTTCTCCCTCGGGGAAATCTCTCTTCCAGTTTCTTTCAAACCTGTCTTCACTTCACCAATAGTATTGACCTCCTCTGGGGCATTTTCCTGTAGGGATATTTCTCTTCGTTCAATCTCTTCCAAATCTGTCTCTCTTTCCTCAGTGGCATCAGTCACCTTTGTTATCTTCTCCCTTGGGAAAATCTCTCTTCCAGTCTCTCTCAAAGCTGTCTCCATTTCCACAGTGACATCAATCATTTCTGGTATTTTCTCCCTGGGAGAGATATCTTTTCTTTCAGTTTCTTTTAAATCTGACTCCATTTCCTTAGCAGCATTAGTCCCCACAGGTACCTTTTCCCTTGGTGAGGTCTCCAATCTTGCACTTTCTCTCAAAGCTGTTGTCATCTCCTCAGGGGCAAGAACCTCCTTTGGTGCCTCTTGTTCCTTTGAGAAAATTTCTCTTCTTCCAGTTCTTCTTCTTATATTTGGCTTTGGTTTCTGAAATCGAGTCTTTAGAATTTGAACTTGTTTATTTGCTTTATTATCCTCTTGAATACTATTAAAAAAAAAAGATACACAATCAGATTGTAAACTAGACTGCCAACTGAAGAGATATGGTTGAGAAATCACTACTGAAAAACCAGGAATTCTCAAGTTAAAAAAAAAAATTAACGAAGCACCAGGAATCTCTGGGCAAAATTTAAAAATTAAAGTAGAGAAAAAATTCTATCCTTGGAAATTACAGTAAATTTTTTAAAAAATTAAATATATTTATTATATAGAGACATATATACAGAGAAATCTATCAATAAGGTCAATTAGAGTAGCAGCTAATCAGGCCTAAATAGTCTCTTTCTAATTGTCATCCATATCAACCTTGGCAAATACTGGCTGAGAAAGTCTCTCCACGTCCTCTACATTGGAGCTAGACCAATCTGTGGCTTCTATTCCTACCTTTTCGCTCCTACTCTCCTTTATCCAGACATATGTCTTGCTGTGAGTTAAAGAACTCATTTATATGGCCAGAACTAACCAGGATCTCAAATAGCTGGGTGGAGGTATAATTTGAATAAGGTAGTCTTATGACTAAAAACTAGGTCTGTCCCTCCTCACTTTTTAAAAACAATTAAAAATGAGATTTCCTGTACAGCCACTTCTCTAAAAGCTTGTGATTTCATAATACATTGTGGGAATGAAAGAAAAGAGTAAATAAACAACAACATTTTGCAGTCTGTTGAATGCTACTGGGCACACAACAATCATTATCTAGTATAAGCACCTTGTTCTTCAAAAAAGCAGCAGCATGCTCTGCTTTGTGCTTTATCATAATAATAGAGAGTAAAACCAATAAAAAATATACAAATGAATGAAAGAGCACTTAGTGAGTGGTTAAGATTTTGACCTTTGAGGCCCTTTTCTTGTGTAGATATTTCTCTTCTTTCAGTTTCTTACATAACATCTTGAACAGTTCAAAGTGTTTGAGAATGGGGAGGAGGGAAACTGCCTACTGGATATAAACAGGCATATGATTTGATAAAACACAGAATCTTAGAATTGTTTTTGTGAATACTGGAGATTCAAAGGCCAGAAAGGTCACTGCCTTTGGAGAGGAAAGTTGTTGATACCAGACTGGATATTAGTTATGAACAATCCAGCAGGGTTCTAAAACCCAAAGGCCACTCAGGGGAAACTTGGTTTTCTATTAAGCCACATGAAAATGGAGTCTAGCTTAAACTAAAAAAATACAAACAAAATATCCAAATTGTCAGGTATCTGTAATTAATATTTGTATCAGAGATATGCAACAAGTAATGCAGTTATACAGGCTTCTACCCAGAGTTTGTGCGGCAGAGAAGTAAAATAGGTTGGGGGTGTAGGGAGGGGGTACAAAGGAATAGAGAAAGAAGAGAGGAATAAAGGAATTTTTCTGTCTTCTAATAAAGATCTTTTGAGTAGTTCAGGAAACCTAGCTTTCACTCTCAGGTTAGGTAGTATTTAAACAGGCTCATACAGCTGTAATAAAGTATACAATAGGCCAGACTTTAAATGTAAAGATTGGTAAAATATAAATAATTGTTGAAACTAGATAGTAGGTACATGGGAGTCTGTTATTCTGTTCTCAGTACTTTTATGCATTGAATATTCCCAAAAGGAAAAAAGTTTTAAAAGCACACTAATAATTCCGTTGATCTGGTTTAATATCCTGCAGAGGGGAAACAACAAATTCAGAGAGCTTTGGCTATGGGAAGTATGAGTTTTACTTAAAATTTACATAAACCTTAAATAAAGGTAATATGTGATCAATCTAATCCCAAAGAAACAAATATTAAGAAAGTAAGTAGCATTTTCACATCTGGATATAAACATGTACTTTACTATGCATGTGAAGTGATAATACTATCCATGTTAACTCAAGGTCTAATTTGCAATGGGTAAATCAATTCATCAAAACACCAATAAGTGAGAAATCAACACGAAGGCAATGACATAAACTGCCTTGAAAGGTGAATTTACACTTGTAAATATTATGTAACTTGATATACAGATAACAAAATCAGTCTGATTTGCTATTTTTAAAAAATGATTAAGAATTTCTAAAACTTTACACATAATTCAACTATTATATCATTAATAAGATGATGCTTACCTTAGACATTCATTAAGAGCCTTGGGCTCATCTGACTGCACATTTTGAAAAGAAGTATCCTTTTTTTCAGATTGTGATGTGATGTCCTCACAATCAAAATTTTTACATGCCTGATCTTCTATTTGTTCAGGAGTCTTAATAACAAACACATTTTTAAAAAAGTTTTACGTCTCACAATGTAACACACATTTATAAAAGACTTCATTGAAAATTATGTATGGCTTGAGTACAAGGAAAATGGTAAACATTTCAAAACTATAAAATGATATTCAAGAGACACTTTTTTTTGACAGGGGTGTGGGGTGGTGCCACGATGTGCAGCCTGCGGAATCTTACCCAGGCCCCCTGCAGTGGAAGCACGGAGTCCTAACAACTGGACCACCAGGGAATTCCCTAAGGGGCACTTTTTAATGTTTGTTCTTTAGATATAGGAAATTTCACAAGCCACACCTTTTACCTCATCTCAAAGCCCCCATTCTTTTCCTCCTAATCAGGAAGCAAGTAACTGCTTCAGTCTGATCTGTTAAAATTATCCCTTGGGGTCTATCTTTCTAAATCTTTTTGATTATTACAATCACATTATAGACCCTGGGAATCATAATAGAAGAAATTCAAATCTCAAATCATGCCAATTCTTACTCTTATCACAAAGACCAGTTACTATGTAAATAATCTAAAATGTATCATCTTTGTTGTTGGAATATTTTAGTAGGGAGCTTTTAACATTTTATTTTGTTTAAGTCAGGATTAAAATTCATATACCTAGCTATATTTTCAGAAGGGAAGTATAATTCAAACACCTGCTGAGTGATGGGGGAAGGCAAGTCCAAACATGAGTAAGGTGAAAGCAGATGATTCATCATATAAATGCTTAAAATCCACAGAGCTGAGAGCTAAGTGCCTTCACAATTAGCAAAGCTGCTGGCTATGAGATTTGGGCATTAAATTTAAAGAACAATATACATAATTGTATACAGTATTGCTGTTTAAAAAGGGGGATGAAAGGAGGCATATGTATTTGTTTAACAAAAAACTGGAGGGCATCAGAGTACTTACATATCTATCGATACAGGACTCATTTTCATTCTTTTCTACACTGGCCCCAATTTTTTCCTGTGATGTAACAGTTTCTTTTCTTTCAGCAGCTTTACCTACATTTGGCTTTGGCCTTTGCAATAAGCCCCTCATTAGGCGTGCAGGTCTGAAAGCCTTTAGCTGATCATCTTCCTGCAGACAAATTTTTTCACTCAAACTAGAGTAATTACAAAGGAATAAAATCAATGGTTATTCTGAAGTCACATAATTACTTGTATATCACATACATGCTTGTTTTCAGTATTCTCTTCTCCCAGGTATAAATAAGTAAACCATTTGGAATACAAAATAATTCACAAGTCTCCTTAAGAACACTCTCAAAGATACACACACCTCTATACCTTAATCCTCTAGAAAAGACATAGTCCTAAAAGCATGACTATAAAAAAAGCATTTTAAAATCAAATTGTCACCACAAAATTGGAAAAATCTATACCTGACAAGCATGGAATAATATTCCCCACTCAGGACACCACTGTGTACATACACCTCCAGGGCACTGGACACAGATTATGGAATAAACATACAGTCCAGAATCCACTGGTTCAGATTTATATTGGAGCAGGCCTATTCTAGATCTCTACTCCAAGTTAAAGATTCCCCACCGCCCTTTTTTTCTGGTCGCACCACGCAGCATGCGAGATCTTAGTTCCCCAACCAGGGATCAAACCTGTGCCCCCGGAAGTAGCAGCACGGAGCACTAACCACTGGACCACTAGGGAATTCCCCTAAACATTCCCTTTGGAAACCCCTTGCTATAAATAAAATTATTTAGAAACATATATCTTAACCATTAATTTATCTAACAAGACTTTGTTAAAATCTTGTTAGTAAGTTGAGGGAGAAATGTAATTGCTCACCAGTGGATCCATACTATAATTTATTTCTATAATACCAAGCATAAAGAGCATTATTAAAATGTTTCAACAATCCCTATAGTTAAAAGTGGACTTAAGTACACTAGCTGAAAATAAAATGCAGACATTATTAAGTAGAAAATAAGTCATTACAATCATTCCTAAGAGTAACTATTTTTATTCTATTTCCTAAATACTTACTTAGATGCAGTGTCAGCTTCTGGATTCTCTTTCTCTTTATTCTCCATTCCAGAAATACCAAGTGTATTCATTTTATCCTTTTCCATATGATTCTATGAATTTAATTTTTTATATTTAATCTACTTAACATAAAGTTCAAACTTTGTAATAAATAAATGGAAATTAAAACAATAAAATTTCACTTTTTTGTACTTCTAATTATTAAAAGAGAGTTGTTAAAATCATAAAGGCAGATGAGAACCTTTTAAACATATAATCTCATACGTCACTGATAGAAGCACAAATTGGTATATCCTTTCTGGAAAGCCTTTTGCCAACATGAATCAAGAACTTTAATAATGTTCATATTCTTTGACCCTGTAATATCATTTCTAAGACTCTACTCTAAAAAAATATCTAGACAAAGATTTAAGTACAAGGTTGTTCACTGGAACATTATGCAAAACAGCAAACACTGTAAACTGACAAAATATCCAATAATGAATAAACGGTTAAATAAATTCAGTTATACCCATTGATAGAATATTATGAAGTCACTAAAAACCATGTTTTCAAAAGATATTTAATGATATGGAAAAATATTTATGAAATGTTAAAATACCAGAGAAGGATACAAAAGTGAATTAATACTACTACTCAAGAATAAAAAAAAAAAAAAAAAGAATGTAAAAGAAAAGCTGGAAGGATATAGTCTAAAAGGTTGGTTGCATGTAGATAATAAAATTAATTTTTTTTGTTTTAATTTTTACATGAATCTGTATTTTCCCAATTTTCTAGAATTTAAAAACATCTCATAAGATTATAATAATATAGTTATAGTTATATTATTAAGATTAAAAAGATTTCACATAAGAGGAAAAAAGACAAATTTAAAAAATTATTTTAGCAAAAATAAAACATTTTTAATAATATAATGCTGGCAAGGATATAAGGAAACAGGAACATTCATTTAATGCTTAAAGCAATGTAAATAGATTCTGGTTTTTTTTTTGGTTACGGGGCTTGTGGGATCTTAGCTCCCCAACCAGGGATCAAATCCGGGCCCAGGCAGTAAAAGCATCCTAACAACTGGACCTCCAGGGAATTCCCAAGATTCCTTTTTCTGACAGTTTGACAATGCCTAACAAGAGCCAAAAAATATTTAAAATACTTTGGCACATTAATCCCACTACCTCTGGAAATTTACTCTTTGCCTATTTACAAAATTGTTTGCTTTTATTTACAAGGGTTAGAAAAATGGAAACAACATAAACATTAGAGAAATGGTTAGGTAAATTAATAATAATGTTAACCTGAGGCAGCCATTAAAAAGATCAATTAACCCCAAGAAAAGTAAATGGATAGTTTCAGAGAAAAATGTTTTAAATGTTATATATGGCTAAAAACTACAAAAATGTTTACTTCCATAAAAAGAGAAATAAAGTTTATGAAGGACAAACAGAGGAATATTTTGTATATAGATAAGAGGGTTGTGGTTATAATTTTATTATAGCTGGTTTAAAAAATATTTTGAATAAATATTTTATATAAGTAAACAAAAGACATATTTGTTACTGCTAAGAACATTCGAAATGATATATCCTATATTCTAAAGAAAATGTATACAACATGAGACTAGTAAGACAAATTTAATATTAATGTGTGAAGTTCTCATATCTTGGCTTTACTATTGGTAACATTACTTTGTAATTACAAGTTAAACATTTTTATTCCCAACTATTTAGAAAAAATACTTTATAATTTTAATTTCCATTAAGTCTCTTACTCCATACCTTTTCAACTGAAGTTTCTGTATGTAAACTCTTGTTCTCTGCATCTGTTTTCCCTTGTGAAAGAACTGATTTCTTCCCAACTGCCCTTGATAAATTGGGTTTAGGTCTCTGGAGTCGTCCTCTTGTCATTGGTTTAATACTTTCTGTTTGATCAGTTTCCCTAGAAAATTAACATTATTTAAATTGTACCAACATGCAGGCACATTCAAAAGAAATTCTGGAAAATTCTTTAAAAATCCATTCACAGCTAGAAAAGAACTCCTTTAAGCTTACTTACAATAAACGTAGCAAAGAAGACTGAACAAGAAGAGCAATGAAGGGTAACTAATTTGTTTTATCAGATGTTAAAAACATACTTAGCAGCAATAATTAAAATATTGTGGTACTAACACATGAATAACAGATAAATGAAACACAAAAGAAAACTGAGATGATGACTCCAAAATACATGATTTTAGTATACAATAAAGTTGGCATTTCCAAATAGAATAAGATGACCACAAAAATAATATATTTTTTAAAATAAATGTTAAATTAAATTAACGGTGATGGGAAAACTAGTAATACTGGGGAATAAAATAAAATTAGCTCCATTCCTTGCACTGTACTCACAATATATTCTAAATGAATCAAAGATTTAAGTGAAACCATAGAGAAAACATGAATGAATTCTTTTGTAACTTTGAGGTGGAGTAAGCCTTTCTAAAACCTGATTAAAAGATCAGGAGCCATAAAAGAAAAAAAAAAAAGGAGAGAGATCTGACAACATAAAAATCAAAAACTTTTACGTGGCCAAAACATATGTCATAAGTCAAACTACAAACCAAGAAAACATGTTTTACACCTCATATCACAAGGCTAATAACCTCTCTAAAATGTAAAGACCTCCTACAGAACAATACCAGTAACTCATTAGAAAACTGGACAAAGGATACGAACTCACAAAAAAAACAAAATAAAAATAGGTTTTAAATTAGAAGAGACGCTCAGCTTCACTCCCAATAAGAAATGTACAAATTAAAAGTAGAGCGAGCTGGACTTCCCTGGCGGTCCAGTGGTTAAGACGCCGCGTTTCCAACACAGTGGGTGCAGGTTTGATCCCTGGCCGGGGAACTAAGATCCCACATGCTGCGCAGCACGGCCAAAAAAGAAAAAAGAGATTGAAAAAAAAAAAAAGTAGAGCGAGCAAGCACAAATGTGAAAAGATATTAAGAATCAGAGAATCTAAGGGGAATTATATACAGATGTTCATTGTTCTTTTGACTTTTCCTTAGGTTAGAAAATTTTTAAGTAAGCAACTGAAGGGAAACAAAAAATAATAGAATTATCTACCCCTGTCAGAAAAGGAGGACTGGGGTATATATACTATACTGTGATATTATTTTATTTTATAATCTATCAAGACTGGCAAAAATCCAAGTTTGATAACACTGTTGGTAGGGAGCCATTTCTTACATTGTTAGTGGAAATATAAACTAGAATAACTCCTATGGAGAGCATTTGGAAGTATCTATCAAAATCATAAATGTATAAATGAACACACACTCACATACAAATGTGTCCTTTGGGCTAGCAATTTCATTTTAGGAACTTTCCCTACAAATAGACTGGCACAAAGGTGAAAGGATAGAGGTATAAGTTTCTAAGCATTGTTAGTAAAAACAACATATATAGCCATCAACAGGGCACCGATAATATAAAGTGTGATTCACCCATACAACAGAACACTATGCAACTATTAAAAGAATAAAGGTCTTTAAGTAAAGATATGACGATATAAGATAAAAAAATTACAAAATGGTATTATACTATGCTACCATTAGGGTTTTCAAAAGAGTAAAATATATATAAACTTTATGTATTTGTATTAGCTTTAATGTCTTTTTTTTTTTTTAATCTCTGAAAGACTAAGAAATAAATAACACTGATTACTTGTTAGGGTAAATGGGGACATGACAGGATGGATACTTCACTCTATACCTTCTTACACTTTTGGATGTTTGAACCACAGGAATATATTGCCTATGCCAAAGACTAGTTTAAATTTTTATTTAAAAAACTAAGTTTGATTCTCTGGGACCTCCCTGGTGGCACAGTGGTTAAGAATGCACCTGCCAATGCAGGGGACACGGGGTCCAAGCCCTGGTCTGGGAAGATCCCACATGCCGCAGAACAACTAAGCCCGTGCTCCACAACTACTGAGCCTGCGCTCTAGAGCCTGCAAGAAACAGCTACTGAGCCCAAGTGCCACAACTACTGAAGCCCACATGCCACAACTACTGAAGCCCGCATGCCACAACTACTGAAGCCCGCGTGCCACAACTACTGAAGCCCACACGCCTAGAGCCCGTGCTCCACAACAATAGAAGCCACCACAATGAGAAGCCCGTGCGCCGTAAGGAAGAGTAGCCTCCACTCGCTGCAACTAGAGAAAGCCCATGTGTATCAACGAAGACCCAACGCAGCCAAAAATAAATACATAAAAAATAAATTTAAAAATTATCTTTAAAAAAAAAATTTTGATTCTCAATGTGACTATGCTTTACTGAAAATAAGAATTCATAAACTAAACTTTTAAGCCCATATGAGGAGTTATGAAGGAGATAAAAAGGAAGTCAAATTCTGAGATATCTTTTCAAAGGGAGATTCTTGTGGTGCTTTTATTGTTTTTAGTGAAGATATTAATTTAATCAGTATTTTCATACTAGAAAACATAATACATAATCTCTTTAAAGTCATCAATATCAAAATCTACTACTTTGACAACAGGTATGAAAAATAACTCAAACCAAGTAAAAGTTAAATCTCATAGCAAATATTTAGGCTTCCAAATTATTTTAGAATTTCATCGTAAGTTACCAGTTTGCTATAACTCATATCACTAAGATAATCTTTCTATAATGAAATATAAAGTGAAAAACCTTAACGTCACTAAGACCACAGTACAATTACATATTAAATGGTCTACAGTCCTCTCTTAATCCCTAAAGGAAGCAACATTATTATCATTTTTTAAATGATAATAAATTATCAAAATTTTGAAAACAAATTTTAAAATCCTACCATGTAAAATACTTACAGTGCTTTATCTTTTAGGTCAACATTTCCTTCTTCTGTACAACTACTCTCAGCATTATTCACCTCACACAATGCTCTAATTCTACCTTCTGATGAAGGCAAATATGAAGTGCTTGATTCTGAAGTCTCAGTTGCTACTGATACGGCATCTTGTTGAATACTACGGAAATGAAAATATATCAGGAGAAAAGAACCCTTAGTAATGCACATTTTATACTAATTATTTAAAAGATTTTTTTAAAATATACAAAGCCAAAACTCTGGAAGATGATCCTTCATATCACGGAATAATCAAAATGGATATTTTGGTTTCTCTATGATCCTTCTTGCACCATGTTATTAAAACACTGTATCTTAGGAGATAATAACAGTCACAAATGAACAGGGAAAGTGCTCAAGAAGTCACAAAATGAAAAACTCATAACTACATGGGGTTCACAAATCAAACGTATGTGTAAAATCATAGTAATGTTTAGGAATTATCTTTCATTAAAATTTTGTATTGGCAGTCTTTGCTTTGCATGGTACTGTGTTACCCAAGAGCCATGGAAATTGAAGACACAGTTGCAACATGCACAAGTTGCAGTTAATGCTGTAGCGTGCAAAGAGAGGACTGCTGTATTAGGAAATACTTCAACTAACAATAATATAAATGATGGCCATGTACTAACGAGCACTCAGTTTCAACACAAATTCACATTCAGCCATGCTTTGTTTCTTTGTTCTTTTTTTCTACTGGGTGTTTGTCTTTTCCCAGCGCTCTTTTTATATTCTTTTTGGTTAGATGTTACATATAAAACCTCCCAATCAACAGCTTCCCTTTTACTTTCTTCATGGAGCCTTTTGTCAACAGAAGTATTTAATTTTACTGCAGTTGAATTTATCAATTTCATCCTTTAAAGTTTGTGCTTTTTATGTCTTAAGAAATCCTCACATCACAAAATTATTTTTCTACATTTTCTCCTAAGTTTTAAAGATTTGCTTTATATATGTAGTCTTTAATCTATGAGGAAGTTAGTGCATAGGGTAAAATAGGGATCTACTATTATCTTTTTCATATCTAAGCACCATTTAATGAATGGTTAATTCAATCTTTCCCACTAATTTCTAATGCTACCTCTGCCATCTAAATGATGCCTAAATTTCTCTTCCTAGATTCTACATCCAATTTTCCTCTCAATTGCCCTTTTCCAGTACCACACTATTTTAATTACTCTAGCTTTAGAATAAGAATCAACTCACTGTTTTACAAAACCAACTGGTATTTTAACAGTCATTACAGGGTAGTTTTCCCCCCTAAAAAAAGTCATCAGTATCGTTTTGTGCATAGTCTATAAAATTAGTTGTGTCTCTGAGGTCAGAATTTAGATGTCTGTCACCCAGCAAGTTAAGGGCCTGAGGTCTACGGCTTGGCTTCAAAGAAATTATTAATCTTCTGAATTGTATGAATAAATTGGCACAGGTGCATATAGGTATTTTTCTACATGAGAATAAATGGCTTTCATCAAAATTTTCAGAAGAGGGTACATGCCAACCAATAGAACAGAACAGACCCATGCATAAACAGTCAAATGATCTTTGACAGGGTGCCAAAACTACACAATATGAAAAGGATAATCTCTTCAGGAAATGATGCTGGGAAAGCTAGATATCCATATGCAAAAAAAGAGAAACTGGACCTTTATCTTATACCATACACAAAAATCAACTCAAAATGGAATAAAGATTTAAAGGTAACACCTTTTATTTTTTTTCTTTTTCAGCTATGCCACGTGGTTTGTGGGATCTTAGTTCCCCAACCAGGGATTGAACCCAGGCCCACCGCATTAAAGGTAATGCCTTAAAGTATAAAATTCCTAAAGGAAAACATGGGGGAAAGCTTCATAAGATTGGTATTGGTAATAATTTCTTGGACATGACACAAAAGGCACAGGCAGGAAAAGTAAAAATAGACAAGTGGGACTATATCAAACCAAAAACCTTCTGTACAGCAAAGGAAACAATCAAGAGTCAAAAGGCAACCTATGGAATGGGAGAAAAGATTTGTAAACCATATACTGAATAAGGGCTTAATATCCAAAATATAAAAGGAACTCCTAGAACTCAGTAACAGAAAAACAAATAACTCAATTAAAAAACTGGAGAAGTAATTGATAGACATTTCTCCACAGAAGACATACAAATGGCCAACAAGTAATATTTAAAGATGCTCAAGGGACTTCCCTGGTGGCGCAGTGGTTAAGAATCCGCCTGCCAATGCAGGGGACACGAGTTTGAGCCCTGGTCCGGGAAGATCCCACATGCCGTGGAGCAACTAAGCCCGTGTGCCACAACTACTGAGCCTGTGCTCTAGAGCCCGCAAGCCACAACTGCTGAGCCCGTGTGCCACAGCTACTGAAGCCCACGCACCTAGGGCCCATGCTCTGCAACAAGAGAAGCCACTGCAATGAGAAGCCCGCGCACCACAACGAAGAGTAGCTCCCACTCGCCGCAACTAAAAAAAGCCCGTGTGCAGCAACGAAGACCCAACGCAACCAAAAATAAATAAATAAATAATAAAATAAAATAAAGATGCTCAACATCACAATCATCAGGGAAATGCAAATCAAAACCACAGTGAGGTATCACCTCACACCTGTTAGGAACTGTTATATTATACTAACATTACTTTTTAAAAATATATATGTAATTAAAACTATGCATTGGGCCTCCCTGGTGGCGCAGTGGTTGAGAGTCCGCCTGCCGATGCAGGGGATACGGGTTCGTGCCCCAGTCCGGGAGGATCCCACATGCCACGGAGCGGCTGGGTCCGTGAGCCATGGCCGCTGAGCTTGCGCATCCGGCAACGGGAAAGGCCACGACAGTGAGAGGCCCACATATCGCAAAAAAAAAAAAAAAAATGCATTAATTCAAATATATATATTAATTTTTTAGAAAAACAGAAAATAATAAATGCTGGCAAGAGTATGGAAAAACTGGAATTCTTATGAACTGTGGGTGGAAATGTAAAATGCAGCCACAATGAAAAACAGTACAGAGGCTCTTCAAAAAATTTAAAACAGAATTATCATAGGATCCAGTAATTTCCCTTCTGGGTATTTACCCAGAAGAACTGAAAACAGGGTCTCAAAGAAATATCTTCAGTTCCATGTTTATTGCAGCATTATTCATAATAGCCAAGAGATGGAAACAACCTAAATGTCCATTGACAGATAAGTGAATAAACAAAATGTGCTATATACTTACAATGGAATATTATTCGACCATAAAAACAGAAATCCTTCATATGCTACAACATGGATGAACTTTGAAAACATCATGCTAGGTGAAATAAGCCACTCATAGAAGGATAAATATTTATGATTCCACTTACATGAAGTATCTAAAGTAACCAAACTCATAGAAAGTAGAATGGTGGTTACCAGAGGCTGGGGTAAGGAGGAAATAAAGAGTTACTGTTCAAAAGATATAGAGTTTCAGTCATGCAAAATGAAAATGTTCTAGAGATTTGCCGTACAACACTGTGCTCATAGTTAACAACACTGTACATTTAAAAAACTCGTAAGAAGAGCAGATCTCATGTTATGTGTTTTTTATCACAAGTAAAAACAAACAAACAAAAAAACCTCAGCAGGATACATCACATTCAAATTGCTGAAAACCAAAAATCAAGAGAAAATCTTTATAGAAAATGATAAACCCATGCAAACATTAACCACAAGAAAACTGTAGTGGCATAGCAATCATCAGAAGAAAGAGCAATACCAGAATGATATCACACAAATGATAAAAGGGTGATTTCACCAAGAAGACACAACAATCCTAGATATATATACCTAACAAAAGAGCTTCAAAAGACATGAAGAAAAACAAATAGAACTGAAAAGAGAAATAAGCAAATTCACAATTACAGGTGGAGATTTCCCACTCCTTTGGTAACTGATAGAAGATGTAGACAAAGTGAGTAAAGATATATAAAATACCTTGGTGAAAGAGCAGGGTCAGTTCTTTTCTCAGTCTTTTCATTAGAGGATAGACCCACAATGTCATCTGTGTTCTGTACACAGGGAAGCTTTTGTTCCTTATTGCTTTCATCTTCATTTATCTCAGGACTTAAAGACAGGCATTTATCTATTAATACAAAATGCATATTATTATAAAAATGATAGCAAAAACATATATTTAAAGCACAACGGAATTTACATATAACACTGTAATGTAAAGATTAAGTAATTATCCCAAAGTCCAATTTCTTAAAAGTTGAGCTATTCTGCTTTATATGTAATGTCTTTACTAGTAAGCCACAAAGAGCATATTATGATGCTTATAAATCACACTATGCTATCTATCAGGATTCACTTATTAAAATCTTATTGGTGAAGTTGAACCACATAAAACTTAAATTCTACAGAAAGGTTGTTCTGGTCTGTTACTAATTTTCCTCCTCTCTTTACTTGGTTATCTGCTTTAAGTAATCTATATGTGAATTCTTCAAGAAAGAGACCGAGACTTCCCTAAACTCTTAGCTCTCATTCCCTAGTGACTCACAAGTGTCAAAATGTCTGTATTCTAGGGAGTTTTAAAAAAGAAAAATGAGAGGAATACTTATTCTAGTACCTTTTATACAAATTAAACAACTTATTTTGGGTTCATAGAGGTGCTCTGTAGAGGCAGAACATGAAAACCTGTGATTTATTAACAGACACAATACACATTTAATTATATGCACGTGACTTAGAATAATTGTTAAAGTGAGTACATAGGAGGTAACACATCTCAGAGACAAACTTGAGAGAAATATCCCCCCATTTCACTCTTCTTTTAATAAATGTTTTTTCTTTAAATTAAAAGTAAAAGGGTTTAACACAGTACCGTGAATACAGAACCAATTAATAAGCATTATTAGTTGCTACTATCCAGAAGAAAAGTAGTTAAGTTATACATCATATTAGTGTACATGTCTTCACAAGTAATATAGGGGCTATTAAAATATGTAATACACTTACTTTTGTGTTTTTCTCCTTTAGAAGAGCCTGGCTGAACACTGGCATTTCCTGAAAGATTTACCTCTTGTTCACTACCTTCATCCTGATTCTTTCTTCTCCTTTTCTTTTGATTTATATCTTGTTCTAATGCATTCTGTTCTGAATCCTGTCCTGATAAAGTCAGAGACTGTTGTTCTTCTTCAACTGTCTGAGCATCCTTTTGAGATCCTTCTGTGTCTGAAATTCTAGTGCTCACAGACTCATCTGGATTATCATTCACTCTTTCACTGGAGACTTTTTTCACTTAAAGTAAGAGAAATTGTTATAAATATAAAAACAGCCTACAGAAAAATTCTTAAAGGTGGAGAAGATAAACACTTAAGGATGTCTGAGCGAAAATTTAAAGACAACCTAAACTGTCCAATAGAGAATGACTAAATAAGTTATAATACATTTATGCTATAGAAATCCATGCAGCAAATAACAATGAGGTAGGTTTGTATGTACTCATGTACAAGATTCAAAAAATATTGTTGCCTTAAAAAAAAAAATCAAGTTGCAGAACAATATACACAGTATCACCACACTTTTATTTTAAGAAAAACAATTACATACTCTAAGACACATACACATATATAAGCATAGAAAAGAGTTTACTAACAATCATCCCTAAGAAAGCTAAGACTTTGTGAGGGCAGGGTACAAGAGAGAGTTCAAGTATTTTATTTTCTGTATCCTTTGTTTTTTAATGAACAACCTTATTAACAAATATTTTTAAACAATTTCTAGTGCCTTTTTTTGAAGGCATATTAATAGTTAACTGTATCAAAAGATGAATATAATGAATTACATTTTAAAAAACAAAAATAATAAAAATGTTATTTATTTTTATTCAAAAAAAGTCAAAACAAGATTTTAAAACTAAGAAAATATGCTGGATTTATTCTTTATCAGAATAATAATCAGCAATTTTTGAATTTTGAGACTTGTAACAAAGTACCTGAAAAGTTCTCATATTAAATAAGATACAGTGAGTTACTTATGCTATCACTGTAACATAATAACCACAAGATTAGTGATAGATTAATATATCTATTTTAATTTCCCAGGGCTATGTAAGTTAAAAAAATGACTAAAGAATGAAATAACTTCGCAGTTATCAATACTACTTTTAAAAAGATAGGGGCACTCTGCTCTAGAAAAAGAAGTTCTATATTGGCTTTGTGCAGGAGTTAACAAAGCAGGCCTCACTGCTCTCCTTTGCAAGGCCTGCTTAAAAGGTTGGCCCTCAGGGGCTTCCCTGGTGGCGCAGTGGTTGGGAGTCCGCCTGCTGATGCAGGGGACACAGGTTCGTGCCCCGGTCTGAGAGGATCCCACTTGCTGCAGAGCGGCTGGGCCCTTGAGCCATGACTGCTGAGCCTGCGCATCTGGAGCCTGCACTCTGCGACGGGAGAAGCCACAGCAGTGACAGGCCCGCGTACAACAACAAAAATGTTTAAAAAGGTTGGCCCTTGGGCTGTGTCTGAAAACTTGGGTTTGGGGAGAGTTCCCACCAGCCTAACTGACAAAGGTGGCTCGCTATACCTAAATTGTTTAAACAAACAATGTGGTTTATGCTGAACAAATGCTTTCCTTTCGGGAGTTTTGAATTCTGGTACATTCCAGGAAGAAGGTGTCTACATGACCAACCTCTAATAAAAATCTTGGGTGCTGACTTTCTAACAAGCTTCTCTGGTAGACAGCTTTTTACATACCTCATTCCTACTTGTTGTTGGGGAATTAAGCACATCCTGTGTGACTCTACTGGGAGAGGACTCTTGGAAGCTTTACTTCTTTTCCCTAGACTTTGACCTATGTGCCTTTCCCTTTGCCAATTTTGCTCTGTATACTTTCATTGTAATAAATCTCAGTTGTCTGTACAAGTATATGCTGAATCCTGTGAGTCCTAGCAAATAATTGAACCTGGGGCTGCTCTTGGGGTCCCCCTACACAGGCTCTCACAGTCCTAGCTTGAGACCTGTCTCTACCACTACTAACACTGTGAGACCTTAGGAAAAAATGACTTAGGATCTCTGAGGTTATTTCTGGGTTATTAAAACAAAAGAAAAGGGGCTGGAATGTATAACTAATATATAAGGTTCCCTGTAGTTCAAAGATTCTTTAAATTATGTGATTATAGCTAAACATTGTCCTCAGGTCAGAATTCAAATAGTTAAGAAAATATAAGCCTAAAAATAGAAATACCCACATATAAACAACTTCCTACCTGGTACAAGTCAACATTAACCCTCAGAAATAAGGTGTGCTCAAACAATACAGTTGAGTCACAAGGCCAAAGTATGAGTTCCTTTTTTTTTTTTTTTTTTTATACTTTTGTGCCATATTTGTTTTACAGAGAAAAATGATAATAAGTAACCAGACATGACACCCCAATATTCTGATGCTCCTTTATTAGCTACAACTATGCCCTCAATGCAAGAAAGATGTCAAACAGCCCAGCCACCCAATTATAAAATTTAAAAGGGAGCTGCTGTTTGGGGCCAGATAACTAGAAGACTGAAGAAAAATCAATTCCCTCCAATCGGATGTCCTGATGATCTCAACTACCTGAACTACATATGAACACCCTAAGACTTGAGGGACAATATTGCAAGCCTATTATTATTAAGTAAAATAACACATTTTCTTTTAAATAAATACCTTTTACATTTTTCCGTGATTTAGAGGACTTCTCCTTTAAAGTCTGATTTTTAACAGATTTTTGTTTTCTTTTCTCTTCTTCAGCAAGAACTTTCTGAAGCAAATGAGCAAAAAAATCGAAGTCAAAAGGGCGCTTTTCCTCTGTTTAAAAAAAAAAAAAAAAAAGAAATTTCAAGTTTTTATTTTAAAAAAAGGAAATGAACTTTCAAGTTTTAATTTTTCTTAAGTATAACATCAAAAGCAAATAGGCTGGGCTTCCCTGGTGGCGCAGTGGTTGGGAGTCCGCCTGCCGATGCAGGGGACATGGGTTTGTGGCCCGGTCCGGGAAGATCCCACATGCTGCGCGGAGCGGTTGGGCCCATGAGCCATGGCCGCTGAGCCTGTGCGTCCGGAGCCTGTGCTCGGCAACCAGAGAGGCCACAGCAGTGAGAGGCCCGCGTACCACAAAAAAAAAAAAAAAAAAAAAAAGCGAATGGGCTTAACAGCAGAACGGGCAAAGAACTCTAATCACTATAGTACAGTCACACAACAGACCACTGAGCAATAAAAAGGAACAAACTATATTAGTTTAAAAAATAAAGAAAAGGAACTACTGATAAAAGCAATAATGTGAATCTCAAAAACATGCTGAGTGAAAGAAGCCAAACACAAATGAGTATATACTGTATGATTCTATGAATAAGACATTCTAGAACAAGATAAACTAACCTATGATGATTCAAATGAAAATAGTAGTTGCCTCGGTCAGGATTAGGAGTGGAGATTGTCTAGAAAGGGAAAGAAGTGGCCTCACTGGAGTGATGAAAATGTTCCATGGCTTGTTTTGTGTGGTGGTTACACAGGTGTACTCTTTGTCAAAACTCAAACTATAAATTGCACTGTCCATAATTATAGACACACTTTTTTAAAAGGCTAGGATGATTAAGAAGTCCTCAAAAGCCTATCCACCACTTTATGTCCTCACTTTATTACAACTCTTTCACTATTAACTCTTACTCTTCCAAATATCAGTGAAGAGGATAGTAAATGAGTATTGATCAGGACCACTCTCACTAAATACCTATTAACAGTATTATATCAGAAAGAGTAATCTATGAACAAACCAGAATGAATCCACTCCAGGAGTCAATCCTTGCCTCAGCTCTATGTCTACAAATACAGTGAATACAGAGAAGTGAATACAGGGAAAATGGTGCTCTATATACATAAGCTCCAAGATTGTTTTGATTACAAGATGGTTACAAGATGGCCTCAGAAAAAGAGGTATATACCAAAACAAAAGTAAATTAGCCTCAGGAAACTAAGCCCAAACCTGAGATTTTGAAAGTCCTATTTTATTGCGGACCCAGTTTTTTATCTGTTCTGACCTTCCACACAAATGATTCTGAAAAACACAGCACTAAAATAATCCATAAAGTTCTCAGAGGAATTATATATAAGTTCTAAAAAACACCATTTGGGTTTTTTTGTGTTTGTGTTTTAACAATTTCCACTACAAAGCATCAAACAGTGAATTTTAAAGGTTCTATTATAATGGTTTTAACAAACATTCCACACCCCATAAAGACTGTTTATAGATTTATGGACTCTTTTCTGATTATAATGCATTAAACATAACAAAAAGTTTCAAGACCACTTCTCTAAAATGGAGAGGGTTGAGGACTAAAATATTCCAGATCTTCCAGAAGCCATTCCTAGAAGTGGTTTTCCTGAGAACTCAATACCACATTTGTAAGGTATAGGGTCCACTTATCTACCTTTGTGTCTAATCATAAAATAAATGTACATGCTATACAATCTAAGTACCTCTCTTTAGAATTTTTTTCTAAGATTAGCACTATGGCAAATGAACACTGAATACACTTATTAATCATGAAACATTGGTAATTATATTCCAAACAAAGAATACAGGAACTACTTTAAATAGTACATTTAATTCTGTTTTTCTTTACAGATCCCTTGATGTAGTTCTCTGGACTTAAAAAGAAACCATGTTCATTTTAATGAGGCTATTAGTTAAAAGCTGAAAGATATACATCATTTCTTCAAATCAGGTCTAAATTCAAACGTCACCTCTTCAGGTGCTTCCTGGTGGCACAGCGGTTAAGAATCTGCCTGCCAATGCAGGGGACACAGGTTCGAGCCCTGGTCCGGGAAGATCCCACATGCTGCAGAGCAGCTAAGCCTGTGCACCACAACTACTGAGCCTGTGCTCTAGAGCCCACGAGCCACAACTACTGAGCCTGTGAGCCACAACTACTGAAGCCCGTGTGCCTAGAGCCCGTGCTCCGCAACAAGAGAAGCGACCGCAGTGAGACACTAGCACACCACAACAAAGAGTAGCCCCCACTCGCCGCAACTAGAGAAAAGCCCGTGCGCAGCATCGAAGACCCAATGCAGCCAAAAATAAATAAATAAAACAAATAAATTTATTAAAAAAAAAAATCACCTCTTCAGACATAACTTCCCTTAATACCCAATCTAAACACCCACTCCCTCTTTTTTCTTCTTAGAAATTAATCACTATCTGAAATTATCCTGCTCACCAATTATATTCCTCCTCCACCCAATTAGACTTAAGGCTCTAAAAGCAGGATTCTCCATCTGCCCTGTTTGACCATGATATCCTCAATGCCTACAACAGTGACTAGCACACAGCAGGTGGTCTGTATTACTGACTGAATGACAGACTTACCACAGTAGGTAAGGAATTATCTATAGTGTAATATCTTCCAGAAACAATTAACCTCTTCTTCAATACAGTTCCCCAAGAATAAAGAGCACTTAGAAATAGCATCTTCAGTCCCCCTAATTTCTTGGACTCAGAACTCTGCTTACTTGCTTCTTGATGTTTTAGCTATTCCCTTGCCTATAGATCTATATCAACTGCCAGACCTGAACTGCTAAAGAGAAAGATTTTCAGTCTTACTCTTCCTATGACAATACAGGGATGAAACAAATCTAAAACACACTGGAACCAAAGACAAAACACTGGTCATTTTTTAGACTCTCCAAATGATTCCTTGTGAAAGAGGTCTTAATACTTACGGAATGCTTTGTCTATTCTCCATCCATTTGTTTTCTCTTCACGTTTAAATTTATTCTGTTAACAAAACAAAACAAAAACTCTTTGGTAATTCTCTCCCATTAAACAAGTGCAGATTATGCCTTTAAAAAAGCATCAAAATAAAATTCTTATAATAACATATGATTCTCTAATTAATAATACATCTTTGCTAATAGGAGAGTTACTTAAACCCTTAGCTTTCAAAAAATAGAAATGAAAGATTTATACTGAGCTCTGTGCTCCTCCTTATGATCAATGACATGAATTAGCAATGGAAACTGGATTTACAGAGGATAGAAAAAAAATAAAGTCAACTAGCGTGGAAACAGATCAAACTGTAATCAATTAAGCTAACCAGTATTAGCTCTTTAAAAACTAGTATATTCATATCAAGTTAAACCTCTTACATTATTATTCTGTTTTTAATGGCATGAAGGGGAAACTATAAAGAAACAACTAAGCAAAATTTTGAAGCAGGCCAAGTTTATATTTAGAAACTTCTTTATATTAAGGAACATTTCCTCATGCTTTTCTGAGCACCAAAGAGCCCCATTCCCAATTCCACTCCAGATTACCTCCTTTAAGATGGAGATGGTTAAGGTTTAGGGTTCAATGCATCCTAAGGTCATTAGAAAGTCTGAGGGCATACACATACACAAACACACCCTGCAGGAGGGAACGATCAGCCAATCTCTCCCTTCTACAAATCAGTGGTCTAAACGCTATTATTAAAAATACAAAAATTGTTTTATTGAAAAAAGAGAAAAATCACACAAAATAAAGAACCTCTTCATGGCCCCACTCTTCCCTCCAAAAGAAACTACCCACTAACCTGACTTTATGTTTTTTTATTAATTTATTAATTAATTAATTTATTTATTGGCTGTGTTGGGTCTTTGTTGCTGCCCGGGCTTTCTCTAGCTGCGGCAAGTGGGGCTACTCTTCGCTGCAGTGCACAGGCTTCTCCTTGCGGTGGCTTCTCTTGTTGCGGAGCACAGGCTTTAGGCGCTCCAGCTTCAGTAGTTGCAGCACGTGGGCTCAGTAGTTGTGGCTCGTGGGCTCTAGTGCACAGGCTCAGTAGTTGTGGCGCACAGGCTTACTTGCTCCACAGCATGTGGGATCTTCCCAGACCAGGGATCGAACCAGGGACACAGTCCCCCGCATTGGCGGTGGATTCTTAACCACTGCGCCACCAGGGAAGTCCTAGCCTGACTTTAAAGCAACCACTTTCTTACATTTCCTCACTGTTTATCATCTAAGCGTACATCCTTAAGCTCTACAGTTTAGCCTTTCCTATTTTTTTAAAACTTCATGTGACTAACATCTTTCAACCTACAGATTATCCCTCTATTCCATTCTTTATTTTTCCTCATAAAACTTATTACCAAGTAGTATAGAAGTTTTCAAGGAAGATCATCTTTCTCCCTTAAAAGATCATATTATTCTTTAAACATTTCCTCAAAAGTTAACAAAAGTCAGGTCCACATGTAACAAAAGTCACATAAAAAGTGACAGACTACAATTACTAAATTAAATATCCTGAGAGAAATAACAGTAGGCTTTAGGCATTATTCAATTCTAAAACATTGCTACATCGTATTTTACTTAACTGAGAATATAATCCAGGACAAGTCTAAATTTTTTTGAAGAATGCATTAATGTTCATCATTTTTTTTTTCTGGCCACCCCACACAGCTTGTGAGATCTTAGTTCCCGGACCAGGGATCAAATCCAGGCCCTAGCAGTGAAAGCGCAGAGTTCTAACCAGTGGACCACCAGGGAATTCCCTGATATTAATAATTGAATTCATAGGCAGGAACCACTGTAGGCCAAATTCCAGAATTATAAAATAAATCCCATAATTTCCATCTCTGGCCCTGATAAAAACTGGTAATGAGCTTGTTCCACATATCCAACCCAACGTAAATAATTTTAACACCAAACAAAATAAATGCATCAACTATTTTCAAGCACTAGACAATAGGCAGAGCAAGACTACAACCCCACAATCCCAGAGAGAAGGGAAACACAAATGATGCACCAACGTTCACCCTGGCTGTCTGCCTGGGCTAAATTTCCTAACCAATGAAAGAGAGAAAAAGGCCAAACAGGGAATAGAGATCCTACTGAGCTGAGGAAGTAGATAATCTTTAGGGGCAGGGTTCTACAGAGAAGAGAGCTATTTAAAGAGGAGTCTCACAAGCCTGGCAGAAGTATCCCCTAGGCTGTTGGTCTGGGTTCCACATGCCCAGAGTATAAGCTCTAGTGGAGAACAGCTACTACAGGGACAGGAGCAAAAAGAAGATACCAGAGGTCACGTAACATAGTGAGATGACAGGGTTCTTCCCACATGAATGAAAAGATTTTGTTAACATCCAAACATTCACCTCAGACACCAGAACAACCACCACTTAGAGACAGGGATCACACCCTAGAGTAGCCTTTCTCAACTGAGGTTCCAGCATGAGAATTAAGCCCTAATGCCCTAAGGGATATACTACATGTAATGAATCACCTTCTTTCCTGTACACCTAGAATGGTGTAATATGACCACCCTTAGAAAAAATTAGAAAACAGTAACACAAACTATTTTCTGTAGTTCAGATGAGAAACCTAGAGTAAGGACCAGTCTTAATAAAGCCTAAAACCAAGCCTTGGGAAGAATAAAGAGAGTTGGCAATATATTAACTACCTTCTACAACTAAACACTCTTTAAAGGAAAAAAATACAAAATAAAAACAAACATAATCCAGACACTGTGCAACATATCCACAATGTCCAACATGCAACTAAAAAAAAAATCCACAAGACATGAGAAAAGACAGGAAAATGTGATGCAGTCAAGGAAATAAAGAGTCAGCAGAAACAGATCCCAATATGACCCAGATGTTGAAATTAGCAGATGAGAAAGTTAAAGCACCTGTTATATGTTCAAGGATTTAAAGGAAAATATGGAATGAACAGATACAGAAATCTTAGCAGAGGAATAGAAACTAAGAAAAATAACCAAGGTGAAATCACAGAAATGAAAGGTATAATATCAGAAATGAAACATTCACTGAATGGGCTTAACAGCGGACTGAAGATAGCAGAAGACAGGATCAGTGAACTTATAAACATGATACCAGAAACTAACCAAACTGAAATAAAGAAAAAAGACTGGGGAAAAAAATGGACAGAGCTTTAGTAATCTGTAGTACAATGTCATGCAAACTAGCACAGGTAAGCGGAGTACCAGAAGCAGGGAACAAAGCAGAAAAAACATTTTAAAAAACAACTCTTGGGAAAATCATAAACAAACTGCTGAACACCAAAGTTAAAGAAAAAATCTTGAAAGCAGTCATAGAAAAGCAATTCATATATATGTATAACTGAATCACTCTGCTGTACAGCAGAAATTAACACAACATTGCAAATCAACTATACGTGAATAAAATAAATTAAAAAAAAAAAAAGAAAACCAGGCTTCCCTGGTGGCACAGTGGTTGAGAGTCCGCCTGCTGATGCAGGGGACACGGGTTCGTGCCCCGGTCCAGGACGATCCCACATGCCGCAGAGCGGCTGGGCCCGTGAGCCATGGCTGCTGAGCCTGCGCATCTGGAGCCTGTGCTCCGCAACCAGAGAGGCCACAGCAGTGAGAGGCCTGTGTACCGCGAAAAAAAAAAAAAGAAAACCTTAAAAACAAAAAAGAAAAGCAATTCATGACATGAATGACAAGAGTAATGGCTGACTTTTCATCAGAAACACTGGAGGCCAGTGGACAATGGAATGACATTTTAAAAGCACTGAAAGGAAAAACTATCCAACCAGACTTGTATACCTAGCAAAAATGAGAGTAAAAAAAGTCTTTCAGAAAAATGAAAGCTGAAAGAATTTTTCAATAGCAGATAGGGTATTCAGAACTACAAGGAGTGAAAAGCATCAGAAATGGTAAACATGTGGCTAAATATTAAAGACTACAGTTGACTCTTGAACAACCTAACTTTGAACTGTGTGGATCCACTTAAATATGTGAATTTTTTTCAATAGTAAATACTACAGTACTACACAATCCGAGTTTGGCTGAATCCATGGATGCATAACTGCAGATACAGAGAAATCGCAGATATGAAAGGCCAACTATAAGTTATACTCAGATTTCTCACTGCAAGGAGGATCGACACTCCTAACCCCTGCATTATTCAAGGGTTAACTGTAGTTTCTTTAATCTACTAAATTTCCGTTAAAAACAAAAGATTCTCTAAGCTAAAATAAGTTCATGTGTAGTGGGGTTTATAAGTAGAAGTAAAACATGTAATAGAATGAAGGATGGAAGGTAAATAGAATTCTTCTTCTAAGAGGATATTATGTAAAGAGTAAAAAGGTACAACAGAAATAAAATACTAAAAAAATTTGATTAACCCCCAAATAAAGCAGGAAAAGATGAGTAAAAAATAGATGGAATGAATGAGAAATAGTGAGATGATAGACTTAAACACAGCCATATCAATTATCACATTAAACATAAATGAACTAAGTTATTAACAGAAATGTAAAACAGACATTTTGTTTTATTTTTATCAGGGGCAACATAAAAATACAATGAACATTTCCTGTAGATACAATGAACCTATCTACAAAACAGAAACAGACTCATAAACATAGAGAACAGACTTGTGGTTGCCTGGGGGGTTGGAGGGTAGGGAGAGGGATGGACTAGGAGTCTGGGGTTGGTAGATGCAAACTATTACATTTAGAATGGATAAACAAGGTCCTACTGTATAGCACAGGGATCTATATTCAATATCCTGTGATAATAAACCATAATGGAAAAGAATATTAAAAAAGAATGTCTCTATGTGTACAACTGAGTCACTGCTGTACAGCAAAGATTGGCACAGCATTGTAAATCAACTATACTTGAATTTAAAAAATAAAAATAAATGATCTGTGCCAAAAAAGAAAAGGAAAGGAAAAAAAATGGAACAATCTAAAGAGAGAAATACAAATCTGTAATTGTGGTTAGATGTGTCAACTCTTCTCTCAGTAACTGACAGAACTAGATGACCCCACACCCAACAACTGCAGAACATACATTCATTTCAAGTGCACACTGACCAAGGTGAGAGTATGATAGGCTTTATTTACTTATTTTTTTTGGCCATGCGGTGCATCACATGGGATCTTATAACCCGACCAGGGATCGAACCCACACCCCCTGCAATGGAAGTGCAGAATCTTAACCACTGGACCGCCAAAGAAGTGCCCCAAGTATGACAGGTTTTAAAATAAATCTCAACAAATTTTAAAAAGCTTGAAATCTTACAGATTATGTCCTTTGACATTCAGAATGTCAAAGAAAACAGTAACAGTAAGATATTTAGAAATGTCCCAATGTTGGAAATTAAACACATGTCTAAACAATTGACATGTCAAGGAAGAAATCACAAGGGAAGGACTTCCCTGGTGGCTCAGTGGTTAAGAATCCACCTGCCAATGCAGGAGACACGGGTTCAAGCCCTGGTCTGGGAAGATCCCACATGCCGTGGAGCAACTAAGCCCATGTGCCACAACTGCTGAGCCCATGTGCCTGGACCCCATGCCCTGCAACAAGAGAAGCCACCGCAATGAGAAGCAGGTGCACCGCAACGAAGAGTAGCTCCCACTCGACACAACTCGAGAAAGCCCACACGCAGCAACAAAGACCCAATGCAGCCAAAAATTAATTAATTAATTAATTAAAATTTAAAAAAAAAAAGAAATCATAAGGGCAACTAGAAAATATTTTTAACAGAATGATAATGAAAACAGTGTTATCAATATTATGGGATACATTTACAGCTTAGATGAAAATGTATAGCTTTAAATGTCTACATTAAAAAAGAAGGGTTTAAAATCTATGTTCTAAGTTTTCATCTAAGGAAGCTAGAAAAAAACAGAGAAAATTAAACCCAAAGTAAATACAGGCATACCTTGAGGATATTGCAGGTTCAGTTCCAGACCACTGCAATAAAGTGAATATCGCAATAAAGTAAGTCACACAGGTTTTTGTTTTTTTGTTTTTTTTGGTTTCCCAGTGCACACAAGAGTTACATTTACATTACAGTGAAGTCGTCTATTAAGTGTACAATAGCATTATGTCTAAAAAAAACCAATGTATATACTTAATTAAAAAATATTTTATTGTTAAAAAATGCTAACCATCATCTGACAATGCAGATGGTTTGCCACAAACCTTCAATTTGTAAAAAAAAACGCAGTATCTGTGACATGCAATAAAACGAGGTATGCCTGAAGAAGGAAAGAAATGCTAAAGAGCTTTATAAAAACCAATGAAAACACACAAACAATTGAAAACTTAACATAGCTAAAAGCTGGCTCATTAAAAGACTTTTGGAAGTCAAAAACCTTTAGCAAGACAAGGAAAAAGAAAAGAGAAAGAAAAATCATTAATCAATGAGATATATCACTATAAATCCTACAAACATTAAAATGGTAAGTGAATAGTATGAAATTTTTATGCCTATAAATTCAACAACTTAGCATCTAAACTGACACAAGAAGAAACTGAAACTATAAATACCCCTATATGTATTAAAGAAATTGCATTTATAATCAAAACCCTTCCTCCAAAGGAAACCATAGGCCCAGATGGTTTCACTGGTAAATTCTATCAAACATTAAAAGCAGGAATAATACTAATCTTAAAACAAATTTTCTCAGATAACAAGAGGGAACACTTTCCAACTCATTTTCTATGACCACCATAACCTTGGTACCAAAAACACAAAGACACTAAAAGAAAATTATGAACCAATACTCTCATTAACAAAGATGCAAAAAATCCTCAAGAAAATATAACAAAAATCAGCAACATATAAAAAGAATACAGTATGACTAATTGGGATTTATCACAGGAATACAAGGTTGGTTCAAAATTTGAAAATCAAGGACTTCCCTGGTGGCACAGTGGTTAAGGATCCGCCTGCCAATGCAGGACATGGGTTCGAGCCCTGGTCCGGGAAGATCCCACATGCCACAGAGCAACTAAGCCCATGAGCCACAACTACTGAGCCCATGTGCCACAACTACTGAAGCCCGCGCACCTAGAGCCCGTGCTCCACAACGATAAGCCACCGCAATGAGAAGCCTGCGCACCGCAACGAAGACTAGCCCCCACTCACCGTAACTAGAGAAAGCCCATGCATAGCAATGAAGACCCAACACAGCCAAAGATAAAATGAATAAATAAAATTTTTTTTTAATTGAAAATCGATGTAATTCACTAGTCCATTTTTACTTTTCTATACTTTGCCCAAAGACCTGCTGGGATCACACTAAACTTTTAATGGAAGAGTCTAAACTGCTTCTAAAAGAAATAGTCTACTGACAAACTTATCATTAGTCACATCTGAGGGCTCCCCTATACGATCAACTTCTAGCCTTCACAGAACTTTAACATTCTGTTCTCCTTATATCAGAGATCAACATTTGAAAAGGAACATAAAAAATCCCTCATCTTTTGCAAAAATAGAATGACTATTACACTGTACATTGGTTCCCAGTAAATCAGTCCATGCCTAGTCTAGTTCAAGAAAAAAAAAAATCTTTCTTAATGGTCCCTTTAATTAATGAAAGAAAAAGCCCATGGTTAGATAAAAATCTCACTATGAATTAGAAATGCACTAGAGCAACATGGTATGCACTCAAATGCACTCCAACCCAGGAAACTTGTAATGAAGTTTCTCAGCAAAAGGAACTATAAGATAGAGAAAGATCATTCTTTTAGGCATATTAAAGCAGTAATGGATTAACATCATTGCTGTTGTTAATAGTATCACTGGAAAAAAGAAAAACAGTATCACTGGTTGCCCCCAGGGTTAAGGTGGCCTAGGAAAGCAACGGTTAGACCAGATATTGAGAACTATATAACTCAGCATGTTCTCTTCCTAGGAAATTCAGAGATATATTTTGTGTTCAAAATCTACCCTTAACCCAAAAGTTCTGGTATATTTATCTCCCCTTTTCATTACGTAACTCTTCTTTTATCTTAGTTTCACTGGCTTTATTGGTACTCCCTCAAATCCATTTTAGAAATAGGAAGATATAAATAAGAAAATATAATACTGAGGTTAAAGAGATTGTATTCATTTTATTTTATTATTTTTAAAAATTTATCTATTTATTTGTTTCTTTTATTTTTGGTTGTGTTGGGTCTTCGTTGCTGCGCGCCGGCTTTCTCTAGTTGTGGTGAGCAGGGGCTACTCTTTGTTGCGGTGCACGGGTTTCTCATTGCAGTGGCTTCTCTTGTTGTGGAGCACAGGCTCTAGGCAGGCAGGATTCAGTAGTTGTGGCACGTGTGCTCAATAGTTGTGGCTTGCGGGCTCTAGAGAGCAGGCTCAGTAGTTGTGGCACACGGGCTTACTTGCTCCACGGCATGTGGGATCTTCCCAGGCCAGGGCTCGAACCTGTGTCCCTTGCATTGGCAGGCGGATTCTTAACCACTGCGCCACCGGGGAAGCCCTGTACTCATTTTAGAATTGAGAAATACTACATTACTTTTTGAGCTATAAAGAAGGACAGATGTACCAAAAACACAGTAGTGAAAAAGGATGGACTGAGATTTCAACCAAAGGTTAAAAAAATAGTAATTTTTAGTCTCTTTTCGATCAACAAACATAATGGGTTTACTTTACCTTAATTTCTATCCTTGCTCTGTGAGGAAAAAGCTGTCCAATCATAGAAAAGTCAGTTCCTACCATGCTGATGGCTAAGAAAAACATATCTGTTTCTGTAAAAGTAAAAGATTTAGAAAGACTGAGAATAATCTTCTAAATATTTCAGAGGAAAAAAATCTTACCTAAGTATATATTTTGAGTTAAAAATAAATTTGACAGTACTTAAGTTTTTTATTAAAGTCCAGTAAATCTTTTATCATATACAATCTACATATACAATCTACATACACGTACATAGACGTATCTCAATTTTACTGCAAGGAACCTCATGGATTTATGAACACCTTCTTTAAACTTTTATATAGAAACATGGTTTAAAAATTTGCATGTTCAAACCAAAGCAGCTGGAATTTTTAAAAAGACATTCTGCCTATCTGGTATCAAGTGCCTTGAAGAAAACTGTCAGTCATAACCAGTATAATACTGCTGCTATGTAGGCAACTAAGATGTTCTAAGTAGTATGTGAAAGAAAGTAGCTAGAAAAATACACAAGAAACTGCTAATAGAAGTAACCTCAAGAGAACAGGATTGGGGAAGTCAAAGAAGGGAATCTTTCTTTTCACTCTGTATTATTCTGTTGTGCCTGAATTTTTTCCCAAAATAAACTGTATTATTTTTATAATAAAAGTAAGTACTAAGCAACAGCTTGCAATAGGTAATATATACTTTTCTAACTGTGTACTTTTTATCATTAAAGACTGTGTTACACAATACTGAGGTAGAACATTATTAGGAGCATTAAAAATATTGTTCATTTTTCATTAAAATGGTATTTGTTGTACAGGGATTTGACAAAGAATATTCCAGCCAAAATGACCATAATGCTAACTCCTCAAAAGATTTCTAAGATAAAGTCAGAGGTATAGTCCCATCGTGGGGGGGCAGGGGAAAGGTGCCAATAAAATTAGCTAGAGAAAAAAATTTGCTAGTTTGCTTTTTTTTTTTTTTTTTACTTAGGGGAGACCTGGTTTAATTCAGAAACCGAGAAAATAATTCACCTTATTTCCAATAAATAATCTACACAATTTAAAATGAAAATCAGTTACCTTTATTTGACCATGGTTTAGAGTAATAGTTTTTCCTAAAGCTGGAGTATGTAGTTGTAGAACCACGCTCAAATATGGGGTCATTTTCCTCAACAACACAGGGGCCTTTGGTCCTTAAAACTTCTACAGTTAAACTGAAAAACAAGTAAGGAAACAAACAGTAAGTGAGATTTTAATAGCTATATTTTGAAATTTACCATGGTAAAATCATATCAAAAGTATAATATACATTTGAAGTATGCATATTTTCCAAGAATCTGCAGATTTTCACTCTAGGAAGCAAAAAGAAATGTCAACTTTTTTTCAAAATCCTTAACAGCAATATAAAATTTATAAAATATCTTTAGGCCACCTAAATAATTATTTTTTACTGACTTCTGCATGTCTCCTATAGTTAATATATATTATCTCATCATGCAATACCCAACAGGGGATACTGTGAAATATAAGCATTTTATATTTACATTTTATATTCCTGCACACAAAGCAATTAAATATGCTTTTAAGAATTTAATTACCAATAAAATCATCATCACCAAATAGTGGAAACAATATGCAAAAACAATTATCATTAATAGCATTACATTTACATTTATCATAGAATTTACATAGTATAAAACAATTTATTACTAATAAAACTGTCAGAAGACTTTCCATCCCTCTTTTTTATTTCCTTACTAATTTAACTTCTTTTTTTATTTTTTAAAATATTTATTTAGGGGCTTCCCTTGTGGCACAGTGGTTGAGAGTCCGCCTGCCAATGCAGGGGACACAGGTTTGATCCCTGGTCCAGGAGGATCCCGCATGCTGCAGAGCAACTAGGCCCGTGCACCACAACTACTGAGCCTGTGCTCTAGAGCCCATAAGCCACAACTACTGAGCCTACGGGCCACAACTACTGAAGCCCGCACGCCTAGAGTCCGCACACCTAGAGCCCATGCTCTGCAACGAGAGAAGCCACCATGGTGAGAGGCCCACGCACTGCAGCAGGGAGCGGCCCCCGCTCACCACAACTAGAGAAAGCCTGTGTGCAGCAACGAAGACCCAACACAGCCAAAAACAAATAAATAAATTTATAAATTAAAATATTTATTTATTTGGCTGCACCAGGTCTTAGTTGCAGCACACGGATCTTCGTACCCTCGAGTGGGATCTTTAGTGGTGGCACGCAAGAATCTTTTAGTTGCGGCATGCAGGATCTAGTTCCCTGACCAGGGATCGAACCCAGGCCCCCTGCACTGGGAGCATGGAGTCTTAACCGCTGGTCCACCAGGGAAGTCCCTTATCTTCTTTTTTTCAAAACACACATTGGAAAAACAAAAAACAAAAACAAACACATTGGAAAGACAACTAAATTCCACAATGCCAAATTTGAGAAATTTAATGTTATAACTAAGAAATTAAGCCAGAAAGTCAATTAAAAATCATAAAATATGTTAAACCTATGTTTCATTGTATTTTCAATAGTTAACACCACACACCAGAATATGGTATTAGTTAATAATGCATAGCTTGAATATTGACATCAAGGCTGAGTCAATCTTCAAAATATATTCTCAGTGGAGGACATCATGTGATTAGTTCAATAGCTCATCTCAATTACCAGTAAAATTAGTAAAACAGTGGTAGTAGGTTAGTGGGTGGCAGGTCAGCAGTACCATCTTCTCATATAAAGGACAGCATTATAAAAATTTCTGAAATTTATAAATGAATGTAACCCATCTTTATATTTGTAACATCCATTATGCAAACATAAACATTAGAGTCTAAGTGACAGTGACAAATACAGAAACTCAATGTCTCTCATTAGACAAAGCTCGTTTGTTCTCATAAAACCACAATCTATCTCTCTCTCTCTTTTTTAACTTACCTTTCTTCATCCAAAATAATAGAACCATCTTCTGCCACTTTTACTCGAGGAACCAGCAATGGCCCATCATCCATCTCCTCTTCTATTTCTTCATTAGCTTCACCATCAGGAGTACTCTTACCTTCTTGCCTACCAAATGTAAAGGTAGGTTAATTCATACAGCTATGAGAAATATTCCCTGAACATTATGAACTTCTAAAACAAATTACTGCACTTTCAACCTTCTAGCTATTTCCCACTTTCCCTATAACCTAATTGAAAATACTATGTGTTGTTAAGGCCATGGTTATAAGATTTTCTCAAATTTTATCTAGTAGCATTTAATAGGAGTCTTTATTTTACTCTATTAAAGAGAAATAAATGCTCATCTTTTCTATCTCAATAGTGTATAAGAGTAAACCATCCAGATAGTATGGAATTAACAAAAATAACCCTTACAGCATTAGTTTCCAGATCATGTTATTACCTCTTCAGAACAACCCTTGGGAGTTAGTTTTTCATGCCCATTTGAAACTTAGAGAAGATAAATTACTTTTGCTCTAGATTACACAACAGTAAGAACAGACCAAGAAGCCAAACACAGTTTTCCAAATAATGACTCCAAACTCCATATACTTTCCATTCAATTACATTATCTCCTTAAGCTCTTATTGAAAGAAACATAACCTATAAATCTGTAAAAACATAACCTATTTCTGAAGCTTGTGAGTTCTGCTTTAAAACAATGTGGATTCTAAGAAAGAGTAATCATTACAGGGAATTTCCTGGCAGTCCAGTGGTTAGGACTTGGCACTTTCACTGCCGTGGCCCGGGTTCAATCCCTGATTGGGGAACTAAGATCCGGCAAGCCACACGGTATGGCAAAAAAAAAAAAAAAAAAAAGAGTAATCATTACTTAATGATTGTTACTTGAAGTAACAACCAGAAAGTCCCAATGTTTCTGCTAATTTTCCACAATTCCCTACCTGGAAATTACAAGTCTACAATAACTTCCTAGGAGGTCTCTTGGAGGGATTTCTTAGGAATAAACTAATGTATGACAGTGAAGGCTTGTACACAAAAAGAGACTCTCTAACTGGCATCAAAACTATACCTACTGAAAACAAACAAACAAACAAAAACTATACCTACTGAAGGACAGTGTATACAAAATGCTTTAAAAAAAGAAAAGGAAGGGGAAAGGAGAAAGGAAAGAAAAAGAAGGAAATAGAAAAAAACTATATGTTTGCTTGGATAGACATAGACTAGAATTAGAAAGATACGTTAAAAATGTGGTAACATTTGTGGCCTCCAGGAAGACGGACTAGACGGCAGAAAAACAAAGTTGGAAAACTTCTCAGTACGCTTTTGTTCCTTTTGAATTTTGTACCATGTGAATATTATTATTCTGAAACCAAAACCTTTTTAATTCTAAACGCTTTAATTTAAAATCATAACTATTTATACATGTAATATACAAGGAGTGTGAGGCTTTCATGTTGACTTAAATCAAGCAGTAACTTTTATTCTTGTGATTCCATTTAAAAATTCCTACCACATGTAATTTAACTAAAACAGGAAGCATTATTTGATTTTTTTTTTTTTTTTTTTTGTGGTATGCGGGCCTCTCACTGCTGTCGCCTCTCCTGTTGCAGAGCACAGGCTCCGGACGTGCAGGCTCAGCGGCCATGGCTCACGGGTCCAGCCACTCCGTGGCATGTGGGATCCTCCCGGACCAGGGCACGAACCCGCGTCCCCTGCATCGGCAGGTGGACCCTCAACCACTGCGCCACCAGGGAAGCCCTGATTTCATTTTTTTAAAAAATTTACCCATAGCAGAATATATTCAAAACAGATGAGATGCTTACTCTCTTGTCTGGACTGGTGTCAATGATTTTTCAGTTTTCTTTTCTTGTTCCAGTGAAGAACTATTAAACACAAATCAAAACATACCTTTTAATAAATAAGTAATTTACATTTTGTCAATTCTATCTGAGGAAGAAGCAAATAATTTTAACTTGCAATTTTTTTATGATATACCATAACACTACCATTAATGATGGTGTGGTCCAACACTCCATTTTTCAGTCAAAAACTTTTGTCATCAATATAAATAATTTGTTAGGCCCTAAGTAGGGAACACTCTTCCCTCTAATTCCTCAGTGAAGGCATGAAACAACCTAAGTGGCTTGTTTCCAACTCCTAGATGTCAAACAATTCAAAACCTAGGTTTCTGGCTCTTCTCTTAACTAAGCCAAAGATGTACTGAGCCTGAAAAAGACTACACTGAAAATATGCCATTACTCCTACATCCACCTGCTACACCATCAACAACACAGTGAGGAGATTTATTATAAACTCTCTGCCTCCCCAGGCTAACTTTGATTAAAGAAGCTTTGTCCTTGGAGGATTTGTTAATGAAATGCCACTGTATTTAATGAGGAGGTAGGATATAAAAATAAGATCACCCCTTTAGATCACCTTATAGTATGTAAGAAATGTAAATGGCAAACTTGATTAGAGAAAAGTTGTTTAGTTGGTTTTACTGCATCTCGGTAATATAACAAAAGAAATTATTTTTTAATCTCAGAGGTAAAGGGCATCTTTACCATCCCAAGAAAACAGTTACTTGAAATAGCACTAATTTGTTTTTTTAGTTTTTTTGGCTGTATTGGGTCTTCATTGCTGTGTGTGGGCTTTTTCTAGTTGCGGCAAGCGGGGGCTACTCTTCATTGCAGTGCACGGGCTACTCACTGCAGTGGCTTCTCTTGTTGCGGAGCACGGGCTCTAGGCACACGGGCTTCAGTAGTTCTGGCTCGCGGGCTCTGATGCACAGGCTCACGGGCTCTGGGGCGCAGGCTCATTTGTGGCACACGGGCTTAGCTGCTCCGCGGCATGTGGGATCTTCCTGGACCAGGGATCAAACCCGTGTCCCCTGCATTGGCAGGCAGATTCTTAACCACTGAGCCACAGGGAAGTCCGAAATAGCACTAATCTTTGTTATAAAATTCTTATCCAAAGGATATCATATGTGCTATAAATTTTGTCAACATGTTGTTGGAAAACATGAAACTGTACTTTAAAAGTGATACTTACTTAAATCATTATATACTCAAAGAAAAGTAAAATAGAAATAAAGTTTACTTACGTCATTGGATTGTTATTTGGCAGGTAATATATGAAGTCTCTCATAGTCATTTTGGAACGATCTGGTGGCCTCTGACTTTCATTTACAGCATATTTGTTTTTCCATTGCTTCTAGATACACAAACACACAGAGATACAATTTTATAAATGTAGAAGAATTTTAGGGGAATTCCCTGGCAGTCCAAAACAATAAAAATAAATTTTAAAAAATTTTTAAAAAGAATTTTAGATGTATATATTTAAGTATACAGCCTACTGCTGCATTCATTGCAAATGCTTGAACATTATTCCTATCACAATTATGCCTAATTTGAGGAAAAAATTTATAAACTGAATATTAAAAAGTTGTAGCACATAAAGGAATTTTAAAACACTAAAGTGACTGGGACTTGGGACTTCCCTGGCGGTCCAGTCATTAGGACTCCAGGCTTCCACTGCAGGGGGCCGGGGTTCGATCCCTGGTCAGGTAACTAAGATCCTGTGTGCCACGTGGCACAGCTAAAAAATAATAAATAAATAAATAAAGTGACTGGGACTGCATAAAAGCTCAATGTATAAAATCATGCTTACTGATGCTGACTACAATAGTGTACTGAAAATTTATATATAGCTTTTATTTGCCCTGTAGTGAGTTGGAATTCTGTATATTTTATAAAATTCTTGAAGCAAATGTTTAATTTTTAATTCCCCCAAATAAATTTAATTAAGCAGATTCTATAAAACAGAGAACATTTTTAGAGGCTTAGATTTTAGAAGATATGAATTCAAATCCCATGTCCTCCACTGATGTTTGACACAAAGCAAACAACCTCTCTGAGCTTATTTCCTCCTCCTCCTGTGTAAATAGTGATAGCCACTTCGCACAGTTGAGATATTTAGATGAGATAACGAATATAAAGCACCAAGGGGGAATTCCCTGGCAGTCCAGTGCTTAGGACTCCACGCTTTACTGCCAAGAAACTAAGATCCTGCAAGCTGTGCGGCATGGCCAAAAAAAAAGCACCAAGATAAGTGCCTTCCTCTTAGTTAAAAAAAGGAGGGCATTCTATAAATTAATAATAAGAGCTGACATTTGTCGGGCTCTTACTGTTTGCTAGACACTAGTCTAAATTTGTCAATTTAGAAAACATCACCAATTCATTTTGCTCAACTACACTTGTCTTAATTCAAATGAATATAACTCACGTCAATTGGACATTTTCAGGGAAAATCTCACTGAAGGTTTAGTTTATAAATACATCTGTACGTGTATCTGTATATGTGTGTGCACACACGTAAAACTTCTATTTGTGGCCTCCACCAAAAACAATGAAAGATATAGATGAAAAAATATACAAAAATTAATATCGTGGAAAAAATAGCTGATTAACTCTATAGTGCTTCTCAATCGTTCTGTTAACAAAAGGGGATATTCTGGGACTTCCCTGGCAGTCCAGTGGTTAAGACTCTGTGCTTCCACTGCAGGGGGCCCGGGTCCAATCCCTGGTTGGGAAAGATCCAGCAGCCAAAAAACAAACAAACAAACAAAAGGGGATATTCTATTAATATGAGGGATGTTACTTGGTTTTGTTTCCCTCATCAAAATGCTACAGATGCTTGTTCTTCCTCCGAATGATGCCTAACATAAAAACAGAAATCTAGGGCTTCCCTGGTGGTGCAGTGGTTGGGAGGCCGCCTGCCAATGTGGGGGATGCGGGTTTGTGCCCCGGTCCGGGAGGATCCCACGTGCCGCGGAGCGGCTGGGCCCCTGAGCCATGGCCGCTGAGCCTGCGCGTCCGGAGCCTGTGCTCTGCAATGGGAGAGGCCGCAGCGGTGAGAGGCCCGCGTACCGCAAAAAATAAAAAAATTACAAAAATAAAACAGAAATCTAGCAGGCAACAGGAGAGGCCGGGTGAGAGGCCCGCGTACCGCAAAAAATAAAAAAATTACAAAAATAAAACAGAAATCTAGCAGGCAACAATCAAAATTCTGATTTTTCTACCATACCTTCTCTTTCCTCAATTCTTCTTTTAACATTTCTCTCAGTTTCTGGGCTTTATATATTCGGTATCTGTCTGAGCATGGCTGTTTCTCTTTTGTTGGAACAGGGTTTGGCTGTGTAGCTTCTTGATTAACTGTAGATAAAGGATGAGGTTCTGAAGGAACACTGACACTAGGTTTAACCAGACTAAAAGTACTTGATACTCGCTTTCTTCTCTGTGAAACGGTAGAGGAAGATTTACTGGATTCTTCAACATCCTTCCCACCATCAGTCTTTTCATCACTGTTGAAATTTTAAAAGAAAAAAAGAAGGGCACCATGGATCTTCTTTTAAATATTTGAGGCTTAACAAATAGTCTGACAAAAATCCAAAAGAGCAAAATCTCATTATTAATAATCAATGACTTGAACAGAGGTTGCAATAAAATTTTTGTTCAGTACATCTTTTTAACAGATACAGAATTCTAATGAAGACTGATGATCCTTTTCAAACTTCAAATCCCTAAGAACATTATAGCACATAATTTTATGCTCATGCTAGGTACCTCAAAAAACAAACAAAAAAACCTAAGCTACAAAACAAAGCTTAATTTGTCTAATTTGAATTATTTGATAACTGAGAGGTTTTTTTCTTTTGATAGTTCTAAAAAAAATTTTTTTAATTGAAGTATATAGTTGATTTACAATATTATATTAGTTTCTGGTGCACAGCATAGTGATTCAGTATTTTTACAGACTGTACACCATTAAATGAGAGTTGTTTTTTAAAATTAAGTTTAGGGCTTCCCTGGTGGCGCAGTGGTTGAGAGTCCGCCTGCCGATGCAGGGGACATGGGTTCGAGCCCTGGTCTGGGAAGATCCCACATGCCACGGAGCAGCTAGGCCCGTGAGCCACAACTACTGAGCCTGCGCGTCTGGAGCCTGTGCTCCGCAACGGGAGAGGCCGCGATAGTGAGAGGCCCGCGCACCGCGATGAAGAGTGGCCCCCACTTGCCACAACTAGAGAAAGCCCTCGCACAGAAACGAAGACCCAACACAGCACAAATAAATAAAAATAAAATAAAATAAAATAAAATAAAATAAATAAAATAAAATTAAGTTTATAATCCACATTGACACTTCCTAAAGTGATCTAAATTTTTGGCATTTTACTTTAACTATCAACTTGAGATCAGTTAAACCAAACAAAATATCAAACCTCTGAAATATTTGTATTGCAGTATTTGAAGACATTCATTTAGCTACATTAATCAAACCAAATTCTGTTTGAAGCAAAAATCATTTATCTTTTGTTGGGTATAACTCTACTTATTCAGCTATCAAAATAAACTCTTCACTCAAAAAAAGTACTCAGTCACTTCAAATTACATATCCAAATTCAGATTGGATATAAATATTTCAGGAATGGCCTGAAAGCAAATTAACAGGGTGTAAGTCAAGAATTAAAAGAAGTCTACTTTTTTCATGTTATGATTAGTTTTATATAAAAGTGAAAAAATGCCTAAACCTATAGAATAACTTTTCCAGAAAGTATCCAATTTAAATTCTTATCTCAGCCCTTATAATGTGATACATGTGTCATTTGCATTTCACCCAATCAAGATGAATGCATAAGGACAGAACATATACCCTATGGATTTTTACAATTAGCAAAGACCCACCAAAAAAAAAAGGAAACACATGATAAAAAACCAAGTATAGTCCCTAAATGTCAAGTCTAAGAAAACAATATCCTTGAGCTTAAATGTCTCAAGACTACAGAATAAGTAATTTACTAAATTATCAATAATCATACATTCACATGAAGTTAACAGGATCTCTGTGAACTTTATTAATTTAACAGTAACTGGTATTTCTATTCCACTGTTGGGAGAAATTCTGAAACAAATTCATGTAAGAAACTTGGAAATTACTAAGCATCATTAAGCTATCAAAATAATACTCTATACTAAGCACCAGCTGAGATCAACAGAAGCCAAGCCAAAAGAGAAAAGAATAAAATTGTCACCTTCCTGTCACAGTATAAATTTATACCATCTCACTGTTATTTAATAGGGTTGATTTTCATTGGTTTCCTCACATTTATAGTATAAAAACAGAGGCCATTATTAGCTCAACATGTCTTAACTTTAACTACTTTGCTCCATCACCTTTAAACACCTAAAGGTAGGCAACTATTCTGTCATGTCCTGTGCAAGACAGTTTATATCAGTTATTTCTAATCTCCACAATAAAGAGTTACATTATCCCCATTTTGCAGATGAGTACATTCTGCCTGGGCAAAGTCCATAAACTGTTAACTTAAGTAGAAGAATCCTGAATCTAATTGTGGTACATGACACATTACATGACACATTTCTGTTCAGAAAACATGGTCACCATAGTTAAAGGGGCACACCCTCAAATCAAGTAACCAGACTTCCTTTCCATTGACATAAATCAGCAGAATCAAAGTAACACTGCTCTTCTTTTAAAAATGTTTTCAAGATTTAAAAAAAAAACAACTTACTCCCGTAAAGTACTCCAAAAGAATGAAAACTGCGGTAATCTAAATGCTCTAATGAATAGTACCACGTGTGGATCTTCTTGAAGATTGCTAGACCTGGATTCCTCCCACCACCACTTGAAGACATGGTCCCCTCCCCGAGAATCTACACGCTGTAACAAAATCCACACTTGCCTCACCGTGGTTAGAGGGACCAACTACAGTTGGCAGTGTGTACCTCGGCCTCAACTGTCAGGCTTAGTACAAGCGAGGGGGTACTTCTACGGTAAAGTTTCTTTGCTCAGCTTCCAGGTGACACGCCCGGAGAGGCGGGGCAGATGAAAATGCTCCCCTCTGCAAGTACTTACCTGCTCTTGGGAGTCTTTTCTCGGAGCTCCTTTTCCCCACAATCCACCGGGGGCACATCTGTGGATTCCGCTGGCTTCGGGACAGAGGCCGCTGCAGGCTCCGGCGGCCTGGGAGCCTCTCGTTCACGCTGTGGATTGGGGGCGGTGGAGCCCCTGGCGCCTGCTCCAGGCCTGACATTGGGCTTCACGCTAAGGCGTGCCCTGCGGAACATGGCGGAGCCAGGGGGCCCGGGGAGGCGACCCCACGGCCGCTCTCAACCCCGAGCCCCGGCCGCTGCCCGGAGAGGGCTTTAGGAACTACGCCCTTCCCACAAGGCCACACCAACAGCCCACCGGGCAGCTACCGCAGTTTCACGCCCCCGCCGCCGCCTCCGATCTCCCGCCGCCGCCTCTTCTTCATGACCCTGCTACACTAATAGCTAAGTTTCCCTCGGTACCTCGTTCCCCCGCCCTCAGAGGACGCCGGGACTGATTACGTCATCATCCAGCGCCGCGGAATGACGCACAGCACCGGAGCCATGGTAACCGTCAAGTTATGGAGCCTGGGTTACCGGTGAACCGGAAATTGAGACGCCAGACGGTGTACTCTTCCCTCTCCAGGGCTCCTTAGGATTTGTTTAAAAGAGCAGAAGGAGGTAGGCAGTCCTTCAGCCCAAACTTTTACAGGAACGATTAAAATCCCTGGCCGTAGGACTTCCCTGGCTGTCCAGTGGTTAAGACTCCGCGAGTCCACTGGGGGTGGTGCGGATTCCATCCCTGGCTGGGAACTAAGATCCCTCAAGCTGCGCGGCGAGGGGTTGAGGGGAAGGGGTGGCGGTGGGGGTGAAAATGCTGGCAAAAACAAAAAACAAACAAAAACAAATTGCTGGCTTTTTTTTTTTTAAGAGGGTCCTGTAGAACGCTGCCTGTTCATCAGCGCATCCCTAAGGCTTAAAAATTCTAAAGTGAGGGGCTTCCCTGGTGGCGCAGTGGTTAAGAATCTGCCTGCCAATGCAAGGGACTATGGGTTCGAGCCCTGAGCCCTGGCGGGGGAAGATCCCTGTGCGCCACAACTACTGAGCCTGAGCTCTAGAGCCCGCGAGCCACAACTACTGAGCCCATGTGCCACAGCTACTGAAGCCTGCGCACCTAGAGCCCGTGCTCCGCAACAAGAGAAGCCCTCACACCACAACGAAGAGTAGACCCTGCTCTCTGCCAACTAGAGAAAGCCCAAGCACAGCAACGAAGACCCAACACAGCCATAAATAAATACATATATATTTTAAAAAATTCTAAAATGAGTAGAACATAGATTAGAAACTAAAGTGTGAAAAAAGTGATAATAGTTAACTCCTAGGAAGGGAACTGGGTTTCTGGGAAACACATCGTGGGAAAAAAGAACATTCACTGTATATCCTTGTTTACTTTTTAATGTGAATGTAACACCTGTTCAAAAATTATTATAGTTAATGGGAATTCCCTGGCGGTCCAGTGGCTAGGACTCCGCGCTTTCAGTGCTGAGGGTATGGGTTCCATCCCTGATCAGGAAACTAAGGTCCCGCAAGCCCCGCGGCACAGCCAAAAGTTTAAAAAGAAGAAAAAAAGGAAAAAAATATGGTTAAAACTTTGTAAATTTTTTAAAAAATATGTTATTAGGCTCATTTTGGGAGAAACATGGAACTTTTTAAATATATATATATATATTTTTCTAATTTATTTTGCTGCACCGGGTCTTAGCTGCTGCACTGGGGATCATCATTGTGGTATGCGGGATCTTAACTGGTGGCATGCATGCAGCATCTAGTTCCCTGCCCAGGGATCGAACCCCAGGCCCCCTGCAGTGGGAGCTCAGAGTCTTACCCACTGGACCACCAGGCTAGTCCCAAAACTTTGTAAATTAACGTGAGCATTCTTAATCTGCTTCAGGAGAGAGCAACAGAGCAATAATCAAGACATTCTGTGTGGGAAAGGAAAATTCAACAGATGAACAAGATAATTTAAGAATTATTAAATGCCATGAAATAAATTTATAGGGTGATATGACAGAGGTTAACGGGAGGCTGGCTTACTTTATGTAGGGTGGTTAGGGAAGTCCTCTATGATGAGAGGAAAAATGTCCAGAGATGAGGCTGACTCTAGAGATTATGGGCCAGTGTTTGAACCAGTAGTACAATTCCCCTGATGCATAGAAAACAAAGGCCTGACTTCCTTCTTGGAAGGAGAAGAAAATTCTACAAGAACATCCTGCTACATTAATGACAAAATGTCAAAGGAATAAAATCCCAAACTGATTGAAGAGATTGCTAGGTCCAGAAGGAGAAAGAAGAGGGACAAGTGTTTTTAAGAGTAGGAAAGCAAGGCTGAAAGTACAGAGAGAAAAGATTCTTTCAAGACTGGGAAGGAAATGGAGGTCTGTGGGCTCCCTCCAGTACTCTGGAGAGGGAATAGGACCTCAAACACACCTAAGGAAGCTCAAGGACTTGAGAAAAATAACCCCTGCTGCAGATATCTGAGGAATCTTGGAGCTACTGCCAGAACCATACAGCTTTGAACAACATATTCCAGTATAGACTGAAGACATAAGGCCTTTCCCCAAACCCTCTGTTTCACCTAAGAGTCTATGGTATTCCCACATTTCTGCAGGTAAAGAAGTAAATAATGACTAGGATTTAATTTCCTATTTGTAAAGGGATGGGAACAGAGTCAGATTCAATTTTACTATTTAACATAAAATCATAAGCTATTTGTTACACATCCCAAGTTTGTACAGTCTTTTTTTCGAACTTTTGAATTTTATTTTATTTACTTTTTTATAGCAGGTTCTTATTAGTCATCAATTTTATACACATCAGTGTATACATGTCAATCCCAATCGCCCAATTCATCATTTTAAAATAATTCTGAGACTCGCATTTTGATCGTGGCTCAGCTCACGGCTAGCTGTGTGACCTTGGGCGGTCACATAATTCCTCCTAGTTTGTACAGTCTTAATGGCATCATAGTAATTTTAAAAGTCTCTAGTTTTCTCTGGCAGACACACCCAACATTTCTTGTATACATGGGATACATCATGTGTATCCCTACAACTCAAAAACTATATTTTCAGTTGCAAAGAAAAAGCTCAATTAGATTCCACACACAGAAACAACTCTACTTAAGTTCAATCCCAAACTCCTTCCCTCCCTTCCTCTTTAGATGGTCTCTTTATCTTTATAAAGAGCCTGGCCAGAAAGTCAGTCTTTTCCTCTGCTCAAGTTACTGCAGAAGAGGTCCCCAAGTGGAGACACCTGGCCTGTAAGCAGTATTGAGGAGGAGGGGTGGGACGTAGGGAGAGTGATAAGCATGAAAGGCTCTCTGAGGTTGAAAGAATGATGACAAGTATAGCTAATATGTTGAGTGCTATCCTGTGCTGGGCACTTACTACTTCACATATATTAATTTGATTAATGAAGGAGGTACAGTTACCTCCCCATTTTACTAGTAAGGAAGTTTTAATGCAATGAAATGACATTCCCAAGTTCACACAACTACTCATTGGGAGAGCTGGGCTTTCAACCCAGACATTCCATCTCCAAAACCCTCAGGTAATTTTTATGAGATGAAATAAAAATTGTTGAAGCTTGGTCTTATATACTTGGAGGTCCATTATAGTATTTTCTATACTTTTGTATATGTTTGAAATCTTCCAAATTAAAAACTTCATTAAAAAAAAAGGGTGATTTCAGGGTGTCCAGACTAACTCTACACATTGGTAATAATTAACAGAATAGATGAAGAAAATAAGTATCAAGCATCTTTACACGTATGTTTCTAGCAATGGCAGATGCTCCATAGCTTTTCCATAGGTTTAAGGTTATGCTGGGCTATTCTGAATTCGTGGTAAGACTGCATTCCCTAGCATTCTCTCCCCATCACACAACCCAGGCACAGAGCCACAGAACTCCTAAAGTACTGTCGACCGTGACAAGCGCACTGGGATCAAACGGGAAAGGAACAGACTTTAGAGTCCGTTTTAAATTTGAATCTTATTTCTACCCATCCCTACCTATTAGGTCAGCGCTTCTGGTCTCAGAGTCTCAGTCGCCTGTTTCGTAAAATGAGAACAATGAAGTCTACCTTGCAGGCTTGGTGCGTGAATAAAGAAGGAAACTATGGGGCTTCCCTGGTGGCGCAGTGGTTGAGAGTCCGCCTGCCGATGTAGGGGACACGGGTTCTGTGCCCCGGTCGGGGAAGATCCCACATGCCGCGGAGCGGCTGGGCCCGTGAGCCATGGCCGCTGAGCCTGCGCGTCCGGAGCCTGTGCTCCGCAACAGGAGAGGCCACAACAGTGAGAGACCCACGTACCGCAAAAAAAAAAAAAAAAGATAAATATGAAGGGCCAACACTGGCTTTCAAAGAGTTAACTTTCAATCTGTTCTGTCCCCTTCCTCCCCTTCCCGCCTCTGCAACGGGATGAAAAAAAGCTAACGTTCCTTTTCGAAAAGTTAGATATTGTAGCGTTTAACGTCGTTATCAAAAAAATAGGGGCCGGTTAAGTCCCAGTGACCGGTATACAGAGGGAAAATCCACACACGTCTATGCCTCGCTCAGACACATGGCCCGCTTTCTCGACTCTAGCAAACTTGCACGGTCGAAACGCCCCGAGGGCGGATGACTAACCCCGGAGCTGCGGCACCGCCCCGCCCCCCCCCCCCTGCCAATGCGGGGGATACGCCCCCGGCCACGCACGCGCAGTCACTCGCCGGCCACGCCGACTGCTGTTGTCTGGACTCGTTGGGCTGGGCCGTCCACCGAGCATAGGCGTGTCCCTGCTGAGGGCCCGCGCGGGCTTAGGCTTCCAGATCGACGGGTGGGGACGGCCGCTGAGCGTGCGAGCAAGTCTTTGCTTTTCCGAGTCGCTCTTTTCCAGGCTCGGTCCGGTGGTCAGCATGGCCCGTGAGTATGCGGACGGGTAGGGGAAGCGGCGGGGAACGTCCGACGAGGAAGTCGAGCTCCAAGGCGCGGCGGGCGGGCAGGCTGGGGCCAGCTGGTGAAACCCCTTACGTCTGGCGCGGTGGTGACCCGGTTTTTAGTCAGCAGAGGGAGAGGGACGGTTGGCTCCGGTCCGGCCTGAAAGGTCGGGCAGGTGCCTAACCTTCGGGTGCGAGTTTACACGGTAAGGAACACCTCCCCGGTGGTGAGGTGTGTGGAGCCCCGGGAGGGATCCTGGTCTGGAGGTGGTTCATAGCTGGTACTTAATACTTAATTAAGGTCGTGAGGCCTAACGAGGACAGGGAACTCTAAGTCTCCTCTCTAGTTCTTTTGTTTGGCCCTTGAAGGTAATGTTTTACAAGCATCTGTAATGCTCGCTTAACAGTTGAATTATGATGGGCCAAGGTGTGTGCGAGGTGTTATCTGTGGTGTATCTTTCTCTCTCCACCCACACCTCTCAAAAGCCAGAACTTATTTCGGAATACTGGCCCACAGAGACAGACGATTGGAACGCCTCCTTTAAGAGATCTGGTGTTTATAGCCAGTGAACACCTTAACTGGTATCATAATACTGTTAGGAACTTCAGTGTTTACCTTTAAGCTTCCTCCTTGTCGTCAGACCCCGGAACACCATTCAGTGCAGTACTCTGCTGGCTTATCTCTTAAAAAGCAAACTTCAGATGCATTTAAATAAGACCCTTAGAATGGAATTATTAATTTTGGAGATGGAAAAATAACATCACTCTTTCTCTTTGTAGGTGGAAATCAACGAGAAGTTGCCCGCCAGAAAAACATGAAGAAATCCCAGGAAATTAGTAAGGGAAAAAGAAAAGAGGATAGCTTGACTATCTCTCAGAGGAAACAGAGGTGAGTTATGCTAAAGGAATTCTCAAGTCACAGAAGTTTTCATTTTGGAGAATGGAAAGCAGTTTTAAAATCCTTAGTAGAACTAGGCCTGCAAGGAAGGGGTAATAGCTGCATATCTGTTGTGTGCCAGGCATACTAAAATTATAAGTGGTAGTCATTATCCCAACCCATGGATGAAGAATTTAAAGCTCTCAAGCTATAATTTGTCTTGCAGAGAATCTCATGCAACTCCACCACAACCATAAGAATTTCATTTAGCTTCCATGGGCAAGGCATTGTTAGGTGCTGAGGGTAAACAGTTTTCAAGCAGACATCCTACTCATACTACTCTGGGTGACAGGTCACCAATTATATTGATAACTTCTGAAAGAGACACAAAGTATATGTAGGTATATTGACTTCTGAAGATCCATTGGATTGGAGAGAATGCAGGTGCACTGCCTTGACATACAAGTGACAATACAAAACTGCTACAGAAATATCAATACTTTGAGACTACAGCTTAAGTTTTTTTTAAAAAAAAGCATTCATGTTTCTAAAAAAAGTTAGCCAAATTTCATTTTATTCTAAAATTAAATTTTGTTGTTCATGTGAAACTTGGAGGCCAGGTGAAGAATTGACTACACAGGCTCCATCGTGGCTTCTCTGTGGTCCTCAAGGCTGGCTGCACATTAGAACCACCTGGGAAAACTTGATGTCTGCTCAAGCCTGTGCCTTACACCCAGCCCTGAATTAATTGGTGTGGGGCTGGACATTAAAAGGTGCTCTAGGTAAATTTTATTATACTTAAGTTAAACCTGACTTTAAAAGCTCCCCAGGTGATTCTGATATGCAGTCAGAATTTAATGAAGTTGAAGCCCTTAATTATCACTTCACAGTGTCTTTCTATGACATTTATTGTTAAAGTGATAAGCTTTGCTTTAAATTTGTTTATTTACATTGGAGTAGAAGTGAACCAATCAGTGGAATGGTACAGATCAGTAACCTTGAAATAATATTTTTATGGAGAAACTTAGTATAGTTTGCCTCAGTGATAGTCACTGCTTAATGACTACCCACTGCCTACAAAGCTCTGTGCTAGATGCTCTATATTTATTACCTCTATTCAACATAATTGTGAAAAGTGCTATTAGCCCCAATACATGCAATGAGAGACTGGGGCTCTGAACCTCAATAACATTACTAAGATCACACAGCAAGCACAGCAGAGTTTGGTTACAAACAGAAAAATAACTATTACTGTTTTTATTCAGAACACCTCATTTTTTTTGTAGCTGTCTTGTTTTTCCTTCCTTCTCATTCCTTGTTTTTGCTATTGGCCTCTCAGAAATGTCTTACTAACATGGACAGAGCTACTCATCCTGAATTAAAATCTAATACTAAATATATGCAATAACAACATAGGAAAGAGCCTGGTCTTTGAAATCGGACAGACCTTAGATTTTTGTGTGATTTGGGGCAAATTATTTAGCTCTAAGCCTTTAACTTTTTTTTAAAATCTGAAACATAGGGACAATAACTCAAAGTTGTCGTGGGACTTAATCCAGAGCCAGCAAAGTGCCTGGCACATAGTAGGTGTTGAATACATAGCCATTTAATATATTTTTAAATATGGGCTCATGGACCATCCAGCCCAGGTAATCTGGTTTTAGTTCACAGTATGTGAAGGTTCAGCCAGAGACACAAAGGGTTAAGAAAATGCCCTGAATATCCTGCTTTTTGGCTTGTAAGAAATTGAATTGATTCACAACATCTATGTTCTAATCCTAGGTACCACTTAGGATATCTAGAAGACTTCTGAAATGCCCCTTCATTCACGAAAAAATTTATAGTGAATTAACTTTGTTGACAACCAAGATTAATTGCCATTATTTCTACATATAGCTGCCTCATGTCAGATGGTGTGCTTGTGTGTGTGTGTGTGTGTGTGTGTGTGTGTTCCTCACAACAACCTGATATGTATTACTCTAATTTTGCAAAGACTTGGAGGTTATTTATCCAAGGTCATGACAACAGTACAGATCGTATTCAAAATAAGATCTGACTTCAAAGCCTTTCCATTCTTCACCTTCTATCTTCACCATTCTATCTCCATCCATGAAAATGGAAAGACATGAAAGTTTATATCTTCTTTTAAATTGTTTTCTAATATACTGAATGGATTATTATAGAAAACAAATGAGAACATAAAATCAGTTTTTCTGTAACAACTTATAGCCTTTTCCCCCCATATAGGGACTCTGAGATCATGCAACAAAAACAGAAGGCAGCCAATGAGAAGAAGTCTATGCAGACAAGAGAAAAATGATGACTATTTGGAAAACCTGGGTGCTGCTGCTAACTAAGTGTATCATAAGCTCTATGATCAAGATTTTGTAGAGTGAACAGTCAGTACATATGTTATATCCTTATAAAACTATTTTAAACTTTACCTTTCAGCCTGACTTAGTGTGATGTTTCAGAACCATTCTTCAAAGAATAAAACACTAACCATGCATGTGACATATTGGTGAACATTGTTTTTTATCACCAGTGAGCATTTATACAATTTATTAGAGAGGTAATATGATCAGGTAACAGGATATTGTACATAAATCTAGAATCTTTGTCATAAACTTTGTTAAAGTATATCTTTAAAGTCAACTTTATTGTATAATAGAATTTAAGATACATTTATCTAATTTTACTTTGTAATCAACTAGCTTGCCTGAAAAATTTACAAAAAATAGTACAAACCGCCTGGAATAGCAACTAAATGAACATAAACTAAATGAGATCTCAGTAAGAGTTCTACTTACAGCTTTAAATTTTTCTAGAATAAGTGCCTTTTTTTTTTAAAGAATTTCTTTTTCTTTTTTTTTAAAGAAATTTTATTTTTCGCTGTGTTGGTTCTTCATTGCTGCATGTGGGCTTTCTCTAGTTGTGGCGAATGGGGGCTCCTCTTCGTTGTGGTACACTGGCTTCTCATTGCAATGGCTTCTCTTGTTGCAGAGCATGGGCTCTAGGCATGCAGGTTCAGTAGTTGTGGCATGCGGGCTCAGTAGTTATGGCTCGCGGGCCCTAGAGCACAGGCTCAGTAGTTGTGGCACATGGGCTTAGTTGCTCCACAGCATGTGGGATTGATCTTCCCAGAACAGGGCTCGAATCCATGTCCCCTGAGTTGGCAGGTGGATTCTTAACCACTGCACCACCAGGGGAGCCCCTGCGGGTTTTTTTCTTAATAGAGTTTATTTTATAGAGCAAAGTTAGTGTCACAAAAAAATTTAGATTTCTCATCTACCCCCTGGCCCTACTCATACATAGCCTCCCCATTATGAACATCCCCTACCAGAGTGGTACCCTTGCTGTAACTGATGAACCTACATTGACACATCATTATCACCCAAAGTACATAGTTTACATTAGGATTCACTCTTTGCCTTCTAAGAGTGCCTTTTTTTGTGTGTGTGTGGATATGTTAATGTTTTTTGTTTTTAGTTGAAGTATAATTGACTTAGAATATTAGTTTCAGGGCTTCCATGGTGGCACATGGTGGTTGAGAGTCTGCCTGCCGGTGCGGGGGACACGGGTTCATGCCCCAGTCCGGGAGGATCCCACATGCTGCGGAGCGGCTAGGCCCGTGGGCCATGGCCGCTGAGCCTGCGCGTCCGGAGCCTGTGCTCTGTGACGGGAGAGGCCACGGCAGTGAGAGGCCCGTGTACTGCAAAAAAAAAAAAAAAAAAAAAAAAGAATATTAGTTTCAGGTGTGCAACATAGTGATTCAATGTTTTTATACATTACAAAGTGATCACCACAATGTCTAGTCACCATCACCACAAAAAGTTACTATAATATTATTGACTATATTCCCTATGCTGTACATTATATCTCCGTGACTTTTTTATTTTATAGTTAAGTTTGTATCTCTTAATCTTTTTCCCTTATTTTGTGCATTTTCCCACCTTCCTCCCCTCTGGTGACACCAGTTTGTTCTCTGTACCTGTGAGTGAATTTCTGTTTTGTTTATGTTTGTTCGTTTTGTTTTTTAGATTCCACATGTAAGTGAAACCATATGGTATTTGTCTTTTTCTGTCTGGCTTATTTCACTTAGCATAATACTCTCTGTGTCCATTCATGTTGTCACAAATGGTAAGATTTCATTCTTTTTTATTGCTGAGTAATATTCCATTGTATATGTGTACATATACACCACAGCTCCTTTATCCATTCATCTCTCAAGGGACAGTTAGGTTGCTTCCATATTTTGGCCGTTGTAAGTGCTGCAATGAACATAGGGACAGATAAATCTTTTCAAATTAGTGTGTTTGTTTTCTTCAGATATTTTTAATTTTTTGAGGAACCTCCATACTGTTTTGCATTGTGACTATACCAATTTACATTCCCACCAACAGTACACAAGGGTTCCCTTTTCTCCACATCCTCACCAATGCTCATTATTTCTTTTTGATAAAAGTCATTCTGACAAGTGTGAGGTGATATCTCATTGTGGTTTTGATTTTCATTTCCCTAATGATTAGTGGTGGTGGGCATCTTTTCATGGACTGGTTGGCCATCTGTATGTCTTTGGAAAAATATCTATTCAGATCCTCTGACCATTTTTTAATCAGATTGTTTCTTTTTTTTTATTTTGAGTTGTATAAGTTCTCTCTGTATTTTTTATATTAACCCCTTATTGGACATATCATTTGCAAATATCTTCTCCCATTAAGCCATTCAGGATGTTGCCTTTTGATTTCGTTGATGGTTTCCTTTGCCATGCAAAAGCTTTTTAGTTTGGTGTAGTCCCATTTTTTTTTTTTGTTTTTTGTTTTTTGGGGGGTTTTTTTGGCTGTGCTATGTGGCTTGTGGGATCTTAGTTCCCTGACCAGGGATTGAACCTACACAGAAAGTACAGAGTCCTAATCACTGGACCACCAGGGAATTCCCTGTTTATTTTTGCTTTTGTTGCGCTTGTCTGAGGAGACGGATCCAAAAAAATACTGCTAATGCTGATGTGAAATATCATACATAGTGCCTATATTTTCTTCTAAGAGATTTGTGGTTTCATGTCTTACATTTAAGTCTTTAATCTGTTTTGAGTTTATTTTCATACATGGTGTAAAAAAGTTGTCTAGTTTCATTCTTTTACATATAACTCTACAGTTTTGCCACCACCACTTATTGAAGAGTCTGTCCCCTATTTTGTATTCTTGCCACCTTTGTTGTACATTAATTGTGCATTTAAGTGTGGGTTCATTTCTGGGCTCTGTATTCTGTTCAGTTGATCTATATGTCTGTTTTTGTGCTAGTACCATACTGTTTTGATGACTGGAACTTAGTAGTATAGTTTGAAATCAGGGACCATGATACCTTCAACCTTTCTTTCTCAAGATTGCTTTGGCTATTTGAGGTTAAGATTTGTTCTTTTTCTGTGAAAAATGCAATGGGTATTTTGATGGGGATTGCATTGAATCTTTAGATTGCTTTCGGTGTTATGGACATTTTGACAATAATAATTCTTCCAATCCATGAACACAGAATAGCTTTCTATTTATTTGAGTTGCCTGCAATTTTATTCATCAGTGTTTTACAGTTTTCAGAGCACAGGTCTTTCACCTCCTTGAGCAAATTAATTCCTAGGTATTTTATTCTTTGTGATGTAATTCCAAATGAATTGTTTTCTTAATTTGTCTGCTAATTCATTATTAAGGTATAAAAATGCAACAGGTTTCTGTATATTCATTCTGTATCCTGAAACTATACTAAATTTTTTTTTAGTTCTAATAGTCTTTTTGCTGGCATCTTTAAGGTTTTCTATATATAGTATAATGTCATCTGCAAATAATGACAGTTTTATTTCTTCCTGTCCAATTTGGTTGACTTTTTGTCCATGCTGCACAGCATGTGGGATCCTACTTCCCCGACCAGGGATCAAACCCACACCCCCTGCAGTGGAAGCACAGAGTCTTAACCACTGGACCACCAGGGAGGTCCCTGGATGACTTTTATTTATTTTCTTGTCTGATTGCTCTGACTGGGATGTCTAACTATGTTGAATTACAGTGGCAAGAGTGTCCTTGTCTTGTTCTCAATTTTAGAGGAAAAGCTTTCAGCTTTCCAGTATTGTGTATGAAGTTAGCTATGGTTTGTCATATATGGCCTTGATTATGTTGAGGTATGTTCCCTCTGTAACCACTTTGTTGCGAGCTTTTATCATAAATGGATGTTGAATTTTTCTTAACAGCTTTTTCTGCATCTACTTATATGATTTTTATTCTTCAGTTTGTTAATATGGTATATAACATTGATGGATTTGTAGATATTGAACCACCCTTGCATCCCTGGGATAAATCCCACTTGGTTATAGTTTATAATCCTTTTAATGTATTGTTGAATTCAGTTTGCTAATATTTTGTTGAGGATTTTTGCATCTTTGTTCATCAGTGATATTGGCCTATAATTTTCTTTTTTTATACTGTCTTTGTCTGGTTTGGATTGGTTAATGCTGGACTCATAGAATGAATTTGGAAGCATTCCTTATTCTTCCATTTTTCGGAACAGTTTGAGAAGGGTAGGTATTAATTAACTGTTCCTTAAATGTTTGGTAGAATTTACCTGTGAAGCTATCTGATCCTGGACTTCTATTTGTTGGCAGTTTTTGGTTACTGATTCAGTTTCATTACTAGTAAACAGTCTGTTCAGGTTTTCTGTTCTTCCTGATTCATTCTTGGAAAATTGTACGTTTCTAGGAATTTATCCATTTCTTCTATGTTGTCCAGTTTGTTGGTGTAATTGTGGTAGTCTCATGATTCTTTGTATTTCTGTGGTATTAATTGTAACTTCTGCCCTTTCATTTCTGATTTTATTTGGGGCCCCTCTTTCTCTTGATGAGTCTTGCTAAAGGTTTATAAATTTTGTTTATCTTTTCAAAGAACCAGCACTTAGTTTCACGGATCTTTTTAACTGATTTTTTTAGCCTCTATTTCATTTATTTCTGCTCTAATCTTTATTATTTCCTGACTTCTACTAACTTTGGGCTTTATTCTTCTTTTCCTAGTTCCTTTAGATGTAAAGTTAAATTTTTTATTTGAGGTTTTTCTTGTTCTTGAGGCAGGCCTGTATTGCTATGAACTACCCAATTAGAATTGCTATTGCTGTGTCCCATAGATTTTGGAAAATTGTGTTTCCATTTTCATTTGTCAAAAGGTATTTTTTTATTTCCTTTTTAATTTCTTCATTAAACCATTGGTGGTTTAGTAAAAAGTTGTTTAGTCACCACATGTTGTGTGTTTTCCAGTTTTCTTCTTACAACTGATTACTGGTTTCATACTGTTGTGGCTGGAAAAGATGCATGATATGATTTCAGTCTCCTTATATTTATTGAGACTTGTTTTGTGGCCTAACGTGATCTCTCCTAGACAGTGTTTCATGTGCACTTGAAAAGAATGCATGCCCTGCAGTTTTTGGGGGGGGGGTTTGTTTTTTATCTTAACATCTTTATTGGAATATAATTGCTTTACAGTGTTGTGTTAGTTTCTGCTGTATAACAAAATGAATCAGCTATATGTATACGTATATCCCCATATACCCTCCCTCTTGCATCTCCCTCCGACCCTCCTTATCCCACCCCTCT